AGTTGAGAAGGTTGGTGGTTACAACGCTGGTCCTAAAAGTTCACTGCAAGGAGAGAAGAGAGCACCTTTTTATTATCTTATTTGTAGTGTCACAGACAGAGGTCCAGTAGGGTTACTAACACATGGCCACTATCTGACTGGTAGTTCAGCGTCCATATCAGAGACAAGGCAAGAGTTGGGAGACAGCCAGCGTGTATTGTAACGGGATGAGATAGGCTATCTTTATTGTCAAAACACAAGAATCAAGGGGAAAAAAGACACAGACTAGCTTTCCTGACAGCCAGCCATTTGAAGTGTGTGCCAAAATGCATTAGGGTTCTATTCTTCCCGCTGTTAGTTGGCTGGCAACATACAGAGCTGCTCACAGGAAAAGGAGAGACTTTCTAGCTAATCAACTTATAATGGCGGTCACACTATCCGTTTGCCACGGTGACGGCAGGCCAGGCGGACCCCCACCCTGCCTGCACACTCACGGCACACTTGCTTCACACACTGGGTGGACTAGGCTCAGCAGGCAGACTGGCAGGGCAGTCCTCTGAACCCGCTATACTGTCCATAAAACAGCCATTACACACATGAGAATCCACTCGATATGGACCCATCAGACGAGGCCCCTCACACAGAAAATGAAGAACTCCAATACCCTTTTCACACTACTGAGCCAAGCTGTACTGTGATGGCCTGGAACCATAGTTGCTGGAATCGTCCTGGAAAGACAATGTGATAAGAAAATATCAAAGCCAGCCCAGTACGGTCAATAATGTAAAACCGAGGATAAGAAGTTTGAAGCTTGAAGTGGGAAGCAACACACACAGTCCCCGTTAATATGAAGACCCTCTGACATCAGCCATATCTAAATGATGAAGCGTTGTGGAGTGTTGTCATACATCTATCTGTAAATGGGATATGCATGCTGTGGAGGATATCTCAATCTGGTACTGTAGCAGGTACAGTATCAGAGGTACAGTAGCACTATGGTTGACCTCTGACCTGTTTGTTTCAGACCAGGAAGTTCCACCCTGGTCCGCTATTGTCCATTTGACTAACGCATCAACTCCCAACAGGTTATATTTTAAGAAAAAAGACTGTGTGTGTGTGCGCGTGCGCGAGAGTATGTGTGTGTGTTTGTGTGCATGCGTGCGAATGTGTGTGTGCATGCGATCCCCTGTTGGTGCATACATAGTATATAGGGTGAGTGAAGGGACTGTACTGAAACCTGGACTTAACATGTTTATGTACACATGACGTTATGACATGTGACAGGGCTATGTTGCTTAACATATACAGTGTGATTAGTGTGTTCTTTAAGGTGAAGGGCAGCTAGCACACATATACCTACACCTCACAGGCCTCTTTATTAGGGTGACTCAGAGGTCTGGAGCCAGAAACCATTCAGCCTCCCTGTAGTGTAGCATCTCTCTCTCTCGCTCTCGCTCTCTCCAATACATGCTTTATTGGCGTGAATGGGTGGTTGCAACTGTTGCCAAAGCATGTATATGAAGTATTACATAAATTAACAACATGTTTGAGCAACAAATATATCAACAAAAACAATTATACATGGAAAATAATACACAAAAAAGAGAACAAACAGCAACAATTGAGAAATGAAATCTACAAGGGCTCATGTGTATGACATGTGGGATCTACTGTCTCTTTCATATAATGACAGGCCAGGACATAATCTGGAGCTAGGTCTACTGTCTAGGTTTTCTCCTAACAAAATGCAGATTTTCCCTCAACAGGCAGTTTAAGAAATCCTGCAATTCTTTCTTTAAATAAATTAAATAAATTTCAGGAGATAAATACCTTTTGAGAAGTGCTGCTCATGATGTACTTCACCTGACCCACAGTGCTTACAAAGTCTCTCCTCTCTGACCTTACATGTTTTTCTATGGCGTCCTGTCTCTATTGCCAGGCTAATGTCTTCCTATGTTTTAATTCTGTGATTTTGACAAGGTGTTGTCCTATTTTGTGATTTAAATGAATTTTGTTTTGTATGTATTTTGGTAACTGTTGAGTTCTTATATCCTCTTAGATATGAATCTCTCTCTCTTCTCTCTCTCCTTGACGCACCACCATGCCTCTTCCTGACACTGATAACAGGCCAGGGTGAGAGACAGACACACCCCCTTCCCAACGGCCTCCGTCTAAGGAAGTGGATCCTGCAGATTGTCTATTCAGCTCTAAAAGACAAACACTTCTTTAAGATGTCAAAACCAGCATTGTTCGGAAAACATAACTACTGCTGCTTTACAGTAACTACACTACAAATCCTGAAAGTTATATTAAAGAACGATCTCCAAAGTTGTTTCCTGAATTAACCTAACACTACAGTTACGACTCCATTAAGTGCCAAAATCTGCCAATTGTGGACATGTGAGAGCAATATTTTCCTGACAGTGTCTCTAACAGCTTTAGACAAACTTTGACCGTGAGGCCCATGTGCAAAACACAGGCCTCCCGCCCATTGGAGGTTAAAACAAGAGGGGGTAGACTAACCCTAATCCAGGTTGTGTCCCAATTGGCACTCTATTCCCTATATAGTGCACTACTTTTGATCTGGGCCCATAGGGATCTGGTCAAAAGTAGGGCACTAAATAGGGAATAGGGTGCCATTTGGTAAGCAAGCCCTCCCAGGCAGGAAAGATCTTGTTTTCTGTGCTGTGGCTGTGCAGGAAACTCAGCCATTCACCCATATACTCCCATCCTGGACTAGGCTGGGAGTGGGGGAGTGATCGATCCTGTTAAGAGCCAGGAGGAGGGAGGGAGGGGTATAGGCTCCACCTCCACCCCCCAAATAAAACTAATAATAATGACTTTATTTCCATCTCCAACACACAGACGTTAGCTTCCTTCCTCTCTCTTTAATGTCTGATGGGATTAAATCTCGATTTTCTTCTTTGTTGCCGGCTGCATCCATTTTCCAAAATAACAATATCAATATCACTGATTGTTTCAGTTCATGTGAAAGGAGTTTCTTCTTTTGATTGAGCTGGACCATGGCGTTCCCTACATTTGTCATTATGTACTATGATATCTCTGATCTGTGAGTCTCGGCCCTGACGATCCTGACAGCCCTGGACTTCCCTCCATGTTCATCATAAGGACAGGAAGCCCCCCTTCCCTCCCTTCAACATCTTCTCCTACCTTCCCACAAACTCCCCTGCTTTCCCTTTTTGGCCTGTATCATCTCAGTATTCTCTCATATCCATTTTGATTATTCAGAGAAATAACAATTTGACTATATTCACTATTATGCTATGACTGTTTGACCTCTGGCTATAAATAGTGTAATTCCTGGTGTCTTCTCAGACTGATACAGACACATTTTATGTAATATATATCTATGGTTGAAACAACATTTGAATACCGGGAAAGAATGAGGGGCACGTGAGAGTAATGTATCAACATCTATGGGGTCATACACAATGTATCATAGGCTGAAGGGCTAAAGGGTTCTCCTAAAAGACTGTGAATTGTTTTTAGAGGCAGCACAAGACTTTGTAGTACAATAGTTTTGTATGGCCAGTATATTGTATAACCTCCCGAGTGGCGCAGTGGTCTAAGGCTGTGCCACTAGAGATCCTGGTTCGAATCCAGGCTCTGTCGTAGCCGGCCGCGACCGGGAGACCCATGGGGCGGCGCACAATTGGCCCAGCGTCGTCCAGGGTAGGGGAGGGAATGGCCGGCAGGGATGTAGCTCAGTTGGTAGAGCATGGCGTTTGCAACGCCAGGGTTGTGGGTTCGATTCCCACGGGGGGCCAGTATGAAAAATTAATAATGTATGCACTCACTAACTGTAAGTCGCTCTGGATAAGAGCGTCTGCTAAATGACTAAAATGTAAAATGTAATGTATCCACTGGCAAACAGACAGTGTTCAGGAGATTTCCAGGAAGCTAGAAGAATCGGATAATGACAAACGTTTACCTCTGACCGCTCTGTTTATTTGAGCCTCCATAAATGATAAGAAACATCAGACTCCTGGAGATACATATTCTTAATTACCCCTTTCATTGTGACATAATCTTTCCCCTTTTTATGACTCTCTCAAATCCCAGCTATTGTCCTGAGACGAATACAAATAATATGTTGATAGAGCCAGCAGTGGCCGGTGGGGTGTTTCCAGCTAAGAGGTATTGGGTGCGCTGGGTTGAGGGGGATCAGGGGGGGTCAGGGGTCATGGTGTCAACCTGGGTCTCCAGAAAACAAAGGAAAGCAAAGCTGGAAGTCAGAGAGAGACAGTAGTGTGTGTGTGTGTGTGTGTGTGTCAGTGTGTGTCAGATAGGGCTGGAGTGGCTCTTTACTCAGCAGGAAGCTCTTACACAGCCTTTCTGTCATGGACCCTCTTCACCTCTCATCTATTAATAAACTAATAACAGTAGTGGGGAATCCCTCCAAGTAGGAATGATCTGTGGACAAGGGCATACAAAGTTCAGAGGGATATCAGGATGTTTATTGTGTAGGAACTATATCAGATAGTTCAATTCTAACCAACCTGTTAAATGTGTAACAAAGTATATTTTATTAGGTTAAACAATAAACTCTAACATATGCCTATTTTTATAAGTCCTTTGTATCCCATGGTTGTATGTGTTAAATGTGTTGTTGTCGAACAAGTAGGTTAATAGCGCCCCTGGTCGACCTCTCCAAATGTATGTGTGTAATAAGATGTACCAACATCACCATAATGTTTAATGCGGTTATCTTCACCTCTGCCTCTTGGGAGGGAAAAAGACCGGTCAAGTCCTACTGTATAACAACATAAAGTCCGGCAATAACGTAAGTGGAGGCGTGTGCTGTCTGGGTGGGAGCGTGCATAGGAAGGGAGGGCAATCTTGTCCAGACACTTATAAGAACCCAATGGCTGGAGCACGGCGGGCAGGAGCGCTTCAACACGACACGAGACACAAGTGGACGAACAAAACTTATCAGGCGCATTGCTGGAGGCAGGAATGGGATGAGATTCTGAGAATGCGATCAGGAGAATTCGCAGAGGAGATATTTTACAGAGACGCAACAGTGAGGTAGGTGCGCGTCAGGTTTGCTTATTGCTGAACTGCCCGGGGACTGGAGAGAGAGAGGCGGTAGGTAGGTAGGCGACTGGAAGCTCGAGAAACACCTGCTTGGCAACAGGTACCAGTACCTCCAAAGACTGATAAGGATGACATCTATTTATTTTTCATTAATTGTGAACAGCATAACGGATGACAAATCTGAAACATTCTGGAATGGAAAAATCGTTTTCAAGTGTCATAAATTATTAGGGGAGTAATCAACAAAACATTAAACTAAATCAGCAAGAGGATATAACAGTTCAGTAGAGAGTAACTCTGAAGTTCATTTTAAAGGGTCAAGATGGATTTTTACAGAAGTATGGCGTCCCTGTACTTCCAGTGTGGATTCTGATCCATAATGGCCAACCTTGCTCTATAGAAACATTATAACTCCTTTACAACTCATGATCTGGAATGGACCACCACCTAAATTTGACCACCATCATTCAAATGCCATCAAGTGCTGGAGACGGGGCTTGCTCAGTGGGCACGGTGGGTCACTGATACCAGGGACCCAGAACTCTTCCCAATGAAGGTGTCCTCCTGGTGGGAAAGCCTGGCACGGCTTGGCCTGCTCGCTATCTTCACATGGAGCTCCCTGGTCCAGGGGTGCGGGCCAGGCCCTGGGTATGGCAACCGCCCTAGGCCCAGGAAACTCACCCCCATGCCTTACAAGACCTCCTTCCCCAAACTTTCCGAGAACAACCTAGGTGCCAGCGGGAGGGTGGAGGGCAAGATCACACGTAACTCAGAACGCTTTAATGAACTGGTGTGTAACTACAACACTGATATTATCTTCAAAGATGAGGAGAAAACCCTTGCTGACCGCTTCATGACCAAGGTAAGACTAGTTGAGAGACTGGGTCAGACAGTGTTTGTAATGGTTAATCAAGTTCAATTATCTCCAGGTTTAAGTTTGATTTTGTATGACATTTACTGTGTGACAACGTCAAGGTCCCATCGACTCACTTGGTGCCCTTTCCATTTACCCTTTTAAGTCACTGGTCACTCATGACTGTGTGGTACAGTAATGTAGTTAGTATTAGACAGGCCGATAGGAGGATACTCTTTCAGTGCGGGGAAACGGGTTCTCTGTTGCAGCTCATAAGGGGAATCCCTCTGCTGGATGATTGATGAACTACAGCAGGTAGTGGCATACAGATTTTTTTATAACTATTGTCAAATCAAATCAAATCAAATGTTATTGGTCACATGCGCCGAATACAACAGGTGCAGACATTACAGTGAAATGCTTACTTACAGCCCTTAACCAACAGTGCATTTATTTTAAACAAAAAAAGTAAGAATAAAACAACAACAAAAAAAGTGTTGAGGAAAAAAAGAGCAGAAGTAAAATAAAGTGACAGTAGGGAGGCTATATATACAGTAAAATAAAGTGACAGTAGGGAGGCTATATATACAGGGGGGTACCGTTGCAGAGTCAATGTGCGGGGGCACCGGCTAGTTGAGGTAGTTGAGGTAATATGTACATGTGGGTAGAGTTAAAGTGACTATGCATAAATACTTAACAGAGTAGCAGCAGCGTAAAAAGGATGGGGTGGGGGGGGCAGTGCAAATAGTCCGGGTAGCCATGATTAGCTGTTCAGGAGTCTTATGGCTTGGGGGTAGAAGCTGTTGAGAAGTCTTTTGGACCTAGACTTGGCACTCCGGTACCGCTTGCCGTGCGGTAGCAGAGAGAACAGTCTATGACTAGGGTGGCTGGAGTCTTTGACAATTTTGAGGGCCTTCCTCTGACACCACCTGGTATAGAGGTCCTGGATGGCAGGAAGCTTGGCCCCAGTGATGTACTGGGCCGTACGCACTACCCTCTGTAGTGCCTTGCGGTCAGAGGCCAAGCAGTTGCCATACCAGGCGGTGATGCAACCAGTCAGGATGCTCTCGATGGTGCAGCTGTAGAATTTCTTTGAGGATCTGAGGATGTGTTCTTTCCTTGTGACATTTTCAGGATTCATTATCAGGAACTCCAATCCACAACTCCAACTTGATAAACTGATGTTGATTCATTGATCACTTTCCCTGCATTTCCTATTTTGTTATTTCATAAAAGGGAATCAAATAAATAGTGGGCTGGATAGTTACAAGGTTCTAAACCATAGATACTTCAGTAATGGACAGTTTACAGTCTCTGGCTGAACTCTTTTTGTGTGAACTTCTTATTTAATCAAATAATTCTGTCCCAGGTGTCTAATATTCCCCCCTCCTTCTTTATAAGATGGGGGGATCAGGATGTAATTTAATATGACTCTCTGGGTGAATGTGTTCCAACTCACGGTGATCATTTCCTCTTAATCTTTAACCAAAGTCTTTGTTGCTTGGTAATAAAACGATTCCTCTGGTTATACTGCTCTGTGTGTGCATACAAGGAGGGATTCGTAGGTGAGGCCAGGCAGGTAACCTTGCATAGTGTACATTAGAGTCAGGTATGCCATGTGACTAGGGTTGCAAAATTCCAGGAACTTTCAATACAATACCTGGTCATTCAGAAATCCTGGTTGGAGATTCTGGATTTCCTGCTTATTCTCTCCTGATTCCGGGAATCCTCCAACAGGGATTTAGGGAAAACCAGGGAATTTATTGAAAGTTCCAATAATTTTTATACCCTACATATGACCATTCAAATATGATCAGGAGTTGAGGAGTTGCGACACAGGCACAGCAGCACAGGAACACAGACCTCTCTCATATCTCGTATCTGACCTCTTTAGAATATCAAGGAAGTCACAGTGTGATGTTAGCATTTAGAGTTGAGGCCGTGGAACAATAAACGTATTGTTATTGCTCTCAAATGGCTGGTATTCTCAACTTCTGATGTCAAGTGAGAATCGATCGATATACAAGAGGCGTGTGATCTTGGACATGGGATATTTAAGACATACATTAGGCCTACTGTAATCTTCAAACGAATTGTAAGGTTCTTAAAATTCACCATCATTAGTAACATCAAGACTATCCTTCACAATTGAGCATAACAACAATTTTTCTTATGTAAATGCAGGTTACTCATGTGGTGATGCTTGGAGTTGAGTATGTGTTCTTTCCTGTTTTTGAAGGAGTGTAGAGTATGTGATGGAAATCTGTGGTTGAGTGTGTGTATGCCCTTCTGATGCCCAGTCTGAGGACCAGTGTGTATATGCGTGCATGTACCAATGTGTGTGTGTGTCTGCGTTAGTGTGTGTGTGTGTGTGTGTGTGTACAGTATGTGTGCATGTGCCCCTCTCTCTGGCCAGATGTGAAAGACATTCTTTGTGTAGGGTTTGGACACTCCGAGGGGTCGCCTATACAAAATTCCCGCCTGCTGAAGTAATGGCACCGTCGGAAAAAAACGACTATTGTAGTTCAATGACAATGAAACGCCTCTCTTCAATGGCATGGCGAGAAAAATGTAGGCAGTTTATTTTGTGTCCCTCATTCTTTTCTTACTCTGGCTGCCACATTCTCAAGTGCATGCCCATGCATTCTTCCCCTTTGTATCTCTGCCCTCTCACTTAGCCTGGCCCTGGCCTCTTAGCTACGTCTCTCTCTGCCAAGTCTCTCTCTCTCTCTGAAATATGGTTAACGAACTCTGTTCCAACCATAGAGATGTATAGAGATTGCAACGTTGTATCTGTGCCATTATGGCATCGGTGACAGCATCCATTTGAAAGTAGTACAAGCTAATATTGGTGACTTACTGTCCCCTGCAGTGCTGGAGTCTTGAACCTAATCTTGTGTGTCATGAATTTATTGTGGCCACTAGATGGCGGTCATATAGCTTAAAGCCATCAACGAACTAGGCAAACCAATTTGAAGAAGAAAATGCTCTGATCATTGGCTGATCGCGCCCAACCCATAGGAATCCCCACCCAGTTTACTATTTTAAAATGGTGGAAGCCATCAATGGCAATGTCCATGCAAAAATTGGTTATTTCAATTATCTCTATACATCTCTATGGTTCCAATTCCTTGGGAATTGGGACTTTCAGGAGCCAATGCTTCAGAGCCTCTTAAAAGTTTGACTCAGTTTGATGGTCTGTACAGTGAACCTATTACCTAATGTGAGAGTGTTACGTTGTATTAACCAGAGTACAGAGATTTAGCCTCTGACATGAGATATTGGAAACTGCTAAATGGCACATTATATTATTATATTGGAAACTGCTATTGTGTGATATTACGTTTTTTACATATACATTTTAGTCATTTAGCAGACACTCTTATCCAGAGCGACTTACAGGAGAAATTATGGTTAAGTGCCTTGCTCAAGGGCTCAGACAGATTTTTCACCTAGTCGGCTCAGTGACCTTTCGGCGACCTTTCGGTTACTGGCCCAATGCTCTTAACCGCTAGGCTACCTGCCGCTACCTACCTACCTGTGACATTCAAACATAATGCAGTATGTATCATTGCGGCCCAGTAGTGGGTGTATATCTGGTTCACATTTCTGATCAAATGTCTCAAAGAGGTGACACTGACTCACTGAATGGCCTTAATTATTCCCTCACCCTGCAGAAAAGGCCAAGGAATGTTCTAGAATGGCTACAGCAGCTTTGTGTTCTTATGTTCTGATTGTTTGAGAAAGGTTGGAGAGGGTGGCAGTGGCCTTTAGTAGCTCTGAATACAGAAGAGAAACATTTGATGATGTCAATGGAGAGACAAATTAGCCTGGTTCCAGAACAGTTTCTGTTGCAAAACATTTTGGGAGACCAGGCTAGAGACAAATAACCTAGAGGGGATAATAGGAGGAATACAGTTAGTTACAGTAGTGTTGTGGTATTTGGTATTGATTTACAAGGGGTTGAATGAGACTGTGAGTGAGTGAATATAGAGTCATTGTGGGTGAGGTAGACAGCAGGCTCATATCTACTCTCTGTCTCAAGCAGTTCCTTTTCCCTCGTTAATTAATGATTAAAACAGTCTCTGGTACCTCCGCTCTAAGGGGGTTCATACACGTCAATAGTCCTGGAGTTGCTATTGACAGACCCGCCTATAATGCTGAAAATACTCGCCAATAGCCTATTAATTCTCATGAAAATAAGAGGGCTAATTTAATTGAGAGCAAATGAATGACTCTATTGGCATACAGTAGATACATTATGACAGCATAGTTGAATTGAATGGTATCATATCATATTGTATTAATGAAATGTCTCTCCACCCCTCTCTCCCTGTCCCTCAGCGCTGTAAAGACTGCCTCAACAAACTAGCCATAGCGGTGATGAACCACTGGCCTGGGACGAAGCTGAGGGTGACAGAGGCCTGGGATGAGGATGGCCATCACCCCCCTGACTCTCTTCATTATGAGGGACGGGCCGTGGACATCACCACGTCAGACCGCATCCCAGACAAGTATGGCATGCTAGCCCAGCTGGCTGTGGAGGCTGGCTTCGACTTTGTGTACTATGAGTCCAAGTACCATGTGCACTGCTCCGTCAAAGCTGGTAAGTCAAGTGGATATTAACTGGCATATTTAATACATGACAAATACATTATTTCCAGTGATTTGCCTTTGGATGTATTTGACATTTATTCCTGTCATTATTTTCATACATTCATGCATAACTTATGTCATCTTATATCATATCAATGTTATTAAGAAAATATAGTGTTTCAGTCATCTTACAGTAGGTCCTTCTCTATTGATTCCCCCCTCAGATCACTCAGTGACGGTGGAGAAGGGGGGCTGTTTCCCAGGCTGGGCCCGGGTGACCCTGGCCGGAGGGGAACAGAAGACCCTGGCCTCCCTGGAGCCTGGAGACAGAGTGTTGGCCCTGTCCGGGTCAGGACACATCGTCCTCAGCCGCGTCCTTCTATTCCTACACCAAGACCATGAGAGCAGGTCCACTTTCCTGGTCCTGGCCACAAAAGATGGCCGCCGCCTAGCCCTCACTCCCCACCACCTGGTCTTCCTTGCCCCCCAATACAAACTCCACCACAGTGAGTACCAGGCTCAGTTTGCCAGTAGAGCCAAACCGGGGGACTATGTACTCATCCATGGAGCGGACGGCCGAGTACAACCATCCAGGATCTCATCTGTATCGCAGGAGGAAGGGATGGGTGTATACGCACCCCTTACAGAACACGGCACTCTGTTTGTGGGTGGGGTGCTGGCATCCAGCTATGCACTTATAGAGGACCATAGACTGGCACACTGGGCGTTTGGGCCTCTGAGACTGCTGCTGTCATTCACCCAGCTGGTTCGGGGGGAGGGCACACTGGGAGCGCAGGTCACAGAGGCAGAGAGAGAGCACACGAAGACGCCCACTCACTGTAACACTCAACAGAAGAGCCTGAGAGTTTGTGTGAATCAGACACTCAGAAGCCCAGGCGTGTACATGAATACAAATACTTCAGACAGACAAAGCAGTTGGGCTGCTGTACCCATAAACAGAGACATTGAGGGAGGACACTGTGACTCTGTGCAAGAAAAGGTTTTGAGTGTACACTGGTATGCTAGGCTGTTACACAGGCTTGGACAGTTCTTTCTAGACCCTAAGACATTTCATCATTAGGTTAAAGGCACTATAGGTTCAACTCTGGTGCCTGTATACTACTGATAATTTCTACTGTACTCTTACATTTCCACAGTGTCCAACTGATAATTGCTACTGGACTGTTACATTTCCACAGTGTCCAACTGATAATTGCTACTGTACTGTTACATTTCCACAGTGTCCTACTGATAATTGCTACTGTACTGTTACATTTCCACAGTGTCCTACTGATAATTGCTACTGTACTGTTACATTTCCACAGTGTCCTACTGATAATTGCTACTGTACTGTTACATTTCCACAGTGTCCAACTGATAATTGCTACTGGACTGTTACATTTCCACAGTGTCCTACTGATAATTGCTACTGTACTGTTACATTTCCACAGTGTCCAACTGATAATTGCTACTGTACTGTTACATTTCCAGTGTCCAACTGATAATTGCTACTGTACTGTTACATTTCCAGTGTCCAACTGATAATTGCTACTGTACTGTTACATTTCCAGTGTCCAACTGATAATTGCTACTGTACTGTTACATTTCCACAGTGTCCTACTGATAATTGCTACTGTACTGTTACATTTCCACAGTGTCCTACTGATAATTGCTACTGTACTGTTACATTTCCACAGTGTCCTACTGATAATTGCTACTGTACTGTTACATTTCCACAGTGTCCTACTGATAATTGCTACTGTACTGTTACATTTCCACAGTGTCCAACTGATAATTGCTACTGTACTGTTACATTTCCAGTGTCCTACTGATAATAGCTACTGTACTGTTATATTTCCACAGTGTCCTACTGATAATTGATACTGTACTGTTATATTTCCACAGTGTCCTACTGATAATTGCTACTGTACTGTTACATTTCCAGTGTCCAACTGATAATTGCTACTGTACTGTTACATTTCCAGTGTCCAACTGATAATTGCTACTGTACTGTTACATTTCCAGTGTCCAACTGATAATTGCTACTGTACTGTTACATTTCCAGTGTCCAACTGATAATTGCTACTGGACTGTTACATTTCCACAGTGTCCTACTGATAATTGCTACTGTACTGTTACATTTCCAGTGTCCTACTGATAATTGCTACTGTACTGTTACATTTCCAGTGTCCTACTGATAATAGCTACTGTACTGTTACATTTCCACAGTGTCCTACTGATAATTGATACTGTACTGTTACATTTCCACAGTGTCCTACTGATAATTGCTACTGTACTGTTACATTTCCAGTGTCCTACTGATAATTGCTACTGGACTGTTACATTTCCACTAATGCTCCTATTTTTTCTTCTGCCCTGTCTTTTACTACAATTTTAAACCTTATGCATCCCGAAAGGGTATATTTGCATCTTACTCACCGGTAATTGCATTGTAATGTATTAATATTGTATCTCCTCTTTTCCATTCAGTAAATGTGTTGACGGTTGGGTCGGGTGCATGTAGAATCGGACTGTCTTCAAAGATAATGTGTTTTAGAAGGCTTTTATACAAGTTCATTCCTGAGAGATGAATGGACTCGCCATAGTAACGGAATCAGCATGTGCATTGTCAAGAATCCATTGTATATGTATCTTATTTAGATAACATCTACAGTATAAGCCAACATACAATGTGGGTTTCCTATAGGCTTTATTATTCTAAAACAATGAGGAAATATGAGTATGTGCCAGAAACAATAAAAGCTTTATTTTTGTACCTTCTGAATCATAATATATAAATGTAGCAATTTATTGTAATTACTATAACTAAGGCCTCATTTGTTATGTTGTCTTTTAAAAGTGTAATTAAACAAATAATCATGCATTATTGTGTAAGGTCAACCCTGCTTGTGTTCCTGTTTTACATGTAGATTCTCTCCGTTAAATCTTTCTGTCTCTCCTAGGGTTTGGGTTTGCAAATTACATTTACAGAATAGAAGATGTTAGAAGATGTTTAATTGATGTAGTTCTCTGCTTGTGCTGTTCTTGTCTATTCATCTTCTGTATTATGTCATGTTTCATGTTTTGTGTGGACCCCAGGAAGAGTAGCAGCTGCTTTCGCAACAGCTAATGGGGATACTAATAAAATACCAAAAAGACTACATGAAAAACTTGAGAAACCTGGCACGACCTTCTTGGTGCATGTGTACTGTAGCAGAGAGGGTTAAACCTCAGACATCCAGTAGAACTGGTGGCCCAGTCTACAGTAGTTAATAAGAAACCCAGACTTAATATTCTCCCTTGCTGCCATATCTCTCTGTGTTTATCTTAATCATATTCTCCATCCCGGCTCCTGAGCAATGGAATCTCTACGCTCTGATTCTCCAAGTATTTCACAAGTGTATGTGCAACATAGCTTGTTATAATATAATAATAATAATATGCCATTTAGCAGACGCTTTTATCCAAAGCGACTTACAGTCATGCGTGCATACATTTTTGTGTATGGGTGGTCCCGGGGATCGAACCCACTACCTTGGCGTTACAAGCGCCGTGCTCTACCAGCTGAGCTACAGAGGACCATTGTTAATGGTGATTGTTATATCGGTGAGTTGTGGGTTATGTATTAAGGAGACCTTTTCTGTCATTGCCACTAACTTTCTGGTATTAACCTAAAGGAACCATCCCTTGTTGTCTCTGTTTTGTCACATTGATTTATCTTGAAACGTTCTCCTCTCAGCTCCTTTATCCTCACAGCGTGCACACACACGTACGCACACGTAGATTTACCCAGTGTGGACATCCTGTGATGTGTAATACGAGGTTATACACCCCCTTGTGGAGGACCTGACATCATACTTGTGGATTATATCTACTTTTGGGTCTTTGCAGCTATTGCTCTTATACCTGCCTGTGTAATAATGCAGTAATTACAACAGTAACTAACAACACTTTATTGATACTATTACTAACATACAAATGTACATACAAATGTAGTAATTTAATGCATAGCAAGGAGTTATCCAGTCCAGGTAAATTCTCCATCTTCCCATGGTAGCCTCATTCTGGATACTCAATAGGTGCACTCTAATTAATATGGACCTAGTCTAGAAGAAGGAATAGCCTAATTGTTGAGAGAGAAAGACAATACCATATTCTTTCAGCATCATGTTTTGGAAATCATTCAAAGACTACATTGAACCTGGCCAGTGTTGTGTGCAGAATAGGATCATCAGGCCCATTGGAGAGGAGCAGAGTAAAAGTGGGGAGTTGAAATGTGTACAAAATCAAATACATAAAAATAAAAAAAGGAAACAAACTGAATGTCATTGTTCCAGTTAGCGTTGTGTAGTAGACAGCTCACAGATGTGGAGGTATTCCATCCAGGGGATTATCCTTGAGATAGAAGGGGCAGATGGGAATGCACACACTCAATCAAATCAGACCAATGGGAGAAGCCCAACAACATAATACCACAAACCTTTTACCATCTTTGACCAATCACAGCACAGTGTCACAGATTGTCACAGAATCCCGACAAGTCCCGGCCCTCAAAAATCCAATCCAATCCTGCTAAAGCTGAATGGGAGTTGGGTAATCCTGTCAGGGCAACCAGTGTCTTAAGCACCTATTTCGTTATGAAAACCAAACCAGCACAACCAACCATTTATGGTTAGTTGATTCAATGTGGACAGACATGTTTTCATCAATTAAAAATCTGGGTCAAATTCAGTATGGTGAACGGTTGTGAGACACGTACATGTTTCGGTCCTGCATGTGACAAGTCAGGACTCAGGAGTGAATGCTGAGACATGTTTATTGCGTACAATGTTGCAAAACATTGTGCAACATTGCATTGTTGATATGCATAATTTTTGCTCAACTAATGGATACTCTTATCCACAGAAATCCAGCATACAGAAGTATGAAATGTTATGTATGAGTGTGTGTAGATCATGATATAGCATCAGGGCCTTGAATTTGATCCAAGCATTAATGCACACATCCAAAAAAGAGGAATCAGGGATGCCTAATATCCTACCTAGAACTAGGCCTAAGTTGAACAATAACTAAATTGCTAGAAGAAGAATTCTGGATGGGGTGACGACACTGTTGGTACAAGCAGGTAAATGATAGTCAAGAGGGAGTTGCAGTGGTGTAGACCAAAGTGAGAGAGCACCTGATCCTACTAGGAACTAAACTGTACTAGGAACAGGATGGATGTGGGCAGAAAGAGGTTGATTGATTCCTCTGAAAAACATGCAAGATCAGCGGGACATGTTGCCATGTTCTCTGATAAGGGCATGGTAGTGCATGGCCAGGAGACAGGAGTCACCATGGAGCTGCAGGCACACCCGTCGCTATGGGCGGACCATAGGGGGCCGGGCCCGCCCCCCAAAATGCTTGTGCCCCCCCACTTGAGAGAATTTATTATTAAATATACGTACTGTAGGCTAATAATAATTGTGCCCTGCCCTCCCATGCATTTCATATGCCCCCCTTAAGACTGAGGTCTGGCGACTGGTCTGGCTGCAGGCCATTATGAGCCAGTGCTATAGAATGGGAAAGTAGCATACTTGGACTCTGGGAAGAGTGAAGGGGTCATTCAAGGCAAGAAGCCTACCTGTTCAATAGGAGAAGTAGAATTGAATCTGAGTATGTGTGAGAGACAGAGGCAATTATAGCAATAAATACCATAACCTCTCAAATGTAATAAGATAGCCAAAGTATCCTCCTAAAATCTAACATACAACAGAGGCATCCAAAGCCAATCATATTCCATTATTGTTTAATGTGCTCTTCTATACACTTACCACAACGTGCATGGACATTGACCAGTCAGTTTTGTCTTGTTTATTAATTTGCATTGGGCTCAGTGTGATGATCTGACGTATGGTGTAAAAAATGACTTCCAAAATCTCGTCCTACACTCTTAAAGTTAAAACACATTGTTTGCTACCTGCCACACACCGACGTTCATTGTAAAATCAGAATATGCCATCCAATAAAATGTTCTAACCCTGAAAAAGTTAGCTAGCTTGTTGGCTTTGAGCTGAACTTGTTAACTAGCGCGTACAAAATCCTCCATTGCAGACATGAGAAATGTTGTTGTTATTAGCTTGCTAGTTAGCCACTTGACGGAACATACACAATGACACACTCGTGGTGGTGATCCGGACAGGAATAGTTCGCTAAAGTTCAAGACTTGAGGTGTTGAAAACATTGTTTCAAATATTGCCTGAAAGTTTAACGTTAATAAATTGAGATATTACCCAATTTTGGGTCGAATATCGGATGGCAACTTACTGCAATCTCCGAACCAGTAAACTGCAGAGAAGCTAGCTAACTACCTAATTTAGTTAGCATCAACTCCTAAACATCCCCCTGTGTTTCGGGACATTGGGATATCCATCGTGAATTTTTCTGGAGGATTGGCTACAATTTTATACTCGTCGACCATTGCTTTTTGTTTAACTATTTTCACGGCGTGTTAGCAACTGGCCATCAACTCTGCCTCTCCAGCTCCGTGGCTGGCTGGCTAGCTACGCTAGTTATCCAGCCTGCCACCCCCGTGCACTTCCCCCACTCACCTCCTTCTCCAGCTAGCCCGCTAAGTAAAATGAGGCAAGCATCAACCATTTAACTGTGTAGATTGATACAACTATGGATTGTTTGGATGTATGAGGACACAACCATCACATTGTAAGGTGAGTCGTTTGGTTGAATAACATCACTAACGAACTTATTTGACGAATCAATTTCCCTGACCTTTAATGCTAGCTAGGTTGTAGCTAGCTAACGTTAAGTTAGTTGATAAGGAGGGCTAACTACACGTTAGCTAGCAACTCCGACTAGCTATGGCATTCGCTAACGAATTCATAGAATTGACGTTAGCTAACGTAAATGTAAGCTACATGTTTAGCAAAACTGACCACCCTTATTATTTCAACCGCGTAGCTAGCCAACTGTGTGAGTGCCATAGTTGGCAGGCGACCTAACTAGCTAACTATCTTGTTTCCTAGTTAGCTAGCTAACTAGCATGTAACTTCGCTAGCTAGTTTACTGAACGGTTAATTCCAACAAGCTTTTTAGGTTTTGAAGTTACCGTTTTGGACACATGCATTGATTTGAGCTAGCTAGCTATCAAGTGGAGTTCTCAAATTATATGTGTGTTGTCAGTGGCTTTCAGTTATGTGGTCTGAGTTTACAGTAATCATCATAGTGATCGCTGATAGATTCTAGCTAATTATTGGGTTTGGTTACATAATGGCTAACTACTAGCTAGTTACATGGCTACCCTTTCCATAGGTCACAATACAAGATACGTTTTCTTGTGCTGTGTATTAGGTAGGAGTAGAACATTGTAATAGTCTCTCTTCCGTGTAGGGAATATGGACCAGTCCCCCAAACACATAAATGATATTCTGAGTTATTTCAATCGCACAGTTTGAATCATATAGCTACTAGCTATGTGCCTACTTTGCATGTTGATTTGTAAATCGCATGTTTCTCATTTTCATGGCAAGAAGATGTGCAAATTGTGATCTGAACACAACCAGCTGCATTGGAACAGAGCGATATTGTTACACAAGTAAATAACCATGGCTTGCTGTAAACACAGGTAGCCTATAACACTGGGATTTGGGAGTTTCTGTTACAAGGCCCAATTTGGTGAACCATTTGTTGAATGGGATACTCCAAAGTAACACCTCATGTGGCTACCCATTGTGCACTACATTACATCATTAGGTGGAGGTGAGGTACATTTTATTTGTTGTTAGCTAGTGTTTCACACTTCACAGTAGAGAAGGTTAGGACAAATATTGTATTCTCAACTCTCATCCAATCCCGTTTTTCATTCATTTTGGTGTTAAGGCATAGCTGTACAATAAAAATAGTGTGGACCATCTAACATAAGACCACTTTGAAAACGTCAGGCAAACTTTCATTTTGGACTAAAACTGTTGTTGGGCTCATTCGGGCTCTGCAGCCATTACTGGAGTAGGTGGCATAGGCTCAATGCTTTTATGAGTTTTTACTGAAGGTTGTGTGGCTAGAACTGGTTTCAACTCTCACTAAATCTGTCATATTGCTACATACTTGGAAATGTAGTTTTCATGGTTAACATATCACAAATCGATTACTCATACAATTGTATATATTTTTTATGTACCTTTAGTCCGTATAATTTAGTCGGAACTATGCTGCACAGTGGTATGGTTTCAGCACGATATTGACAGTTGCAACAGGAAGTAATGTACACGGAAGTTGTATTTTCTTTGTGTATCTCGGTTTAGGGTTGTTTTATTTAAAGAAAACAACATTTCAGTTCCTATATTTTGTTATTTTTCATACATGACTTGTGCGGGTTTGGATTATGCATTGCTGGCAAAACAAAGATTTAAATGTCTTCAAACATGTATTATATATTTAGTTAGCTAGTCACTGACACGCTATTTTCATGCAGAGTTTGCAAATCCCGAGTAACGTTAGCGAGCTACTTTGTTAGCAAGAATGCTATCAGTTAACGACGTAGCTAGCTAGCTAACGTTAGCTAGTGGTTTCAACTAAATTGAGGACAAACAGCCATATTCATTCAGCTAGATTGGATCGCGGTTAATGGATTACGTGTATCAAAATGATGCATTTAGTGTCCCATGCAAATAGCTAAAGGTTTGTATTAAATAAGCTTCCTACTAGCTAGCTATATTTATTATTTATACAGTTATTGTGAATTTGTCACGTCTGAGGTTATAAGCTAACGTTTGCCAAATCAGCTAGCTGACGTCGGCTATCTATTTCAATCTAGCTGTTATACTGCAGCAATGTGAAAAATCGGGCTTTTGCCGGGCACAAAAGGAAATGGAGCCTCGCTGGATTTTGAGATTGAACGTCAGATAGCATAAATGTGACTACCGGTAGTTGTTGATTTTTCCCGCGTTAGACTAGGTGATAAATAATGTGTATATTTAATGTTTATTGTTACTTTTGATAAATAATCATGTGCCTTACCTCTTATATTATTCGGCGACTTTGTTTATGTTTCAGGCCTCTGTCAAGGAGATCAGCATCAGGAGAGGGGATGGACGAGCAGAAATCAAACTGCGAAGAAAATGACTCTGAACCGAAAGGTACAATAACATACCTGCTGTGGTGTCAGGAAAAAAAGTAGTTGTTGCAAGTTATAATAATTTTCAACTACACACATTTTTCACTATAACATAACATAATTAAATTATGTTGCAAATTTCTTTATTTTTGTTGTATGGATTTTCATACGGTAGCTTATAGGAATGTTCTTTAAAATTGAAGACAAATAAAGGTTAAATTGGTAAGTCCTAAAACATGTCGACTAATGTAATGTTGATTCCTCTCCCAGCTGATGACAGCACCCCTATGGAGCAGCCAGTCCCCTCAGAGGGGGAGTCAGAGGCCCTTCCGGCTGCAGAGGACTCGTCTGAAACTGTTGCTGCCAGCACAGATGTGTACGTCCCTTCTCAGATACCTTAATGAAGGCATTTTTGAGATGTGCTAGAAAAAATAGAGATTTCTTAGTCAACATTTCAAATGACATTTACTGGCAATACCTATATGTTAACAAGTCACACCCGTATGACATTCGCCACAAAATATTGATTTTTCAAGCAAACTCCCACTGTGCTGCCAAGAGTTGCTGAATATCCTCAGCTCATGAGGGCTGTAGTGCACTGCCCAGCATTACATGGGAGACATGCAGTCAGATGTGTAGTCCCAAATAATCTTAGCTGGGTTTATATTTTTTGTGTTTGGTCATGTTGGAGGAGTATAATATGGAATAGAATTGAAGTTTGAAGTGAGTGCTTAAGTCATTTTACACACATTATACCTTTTTGGGATCCATTTACCTGCGTGCTGTCTGTCTAAAACTGAGCCTCTGTCTATCTGCACAGGGAGAGCAGCGTGAGGGCCTGTGCTCTATGTAACTGTGTGGAGCGCAGCCTCCACGGACAACGGGAACTCCGACATTTTGGGCCATTTTCCTCCCGGCCCGCCCTGGAGCCTTCCGCTTCCTCACTGCCAGGGCCCGGGAACGATGACCTGTCTTCCATCGGATTCTCAGACTCCGACGCATCCTGTCTGGCAGCACTCTTCGATGACACAGGTGGGATTTCAAACATCTCATCACATTTTGATTTCGTTTTTTTATTTGAGCTGCCTTCTTGGTCAGGTCTCCTTTGAGAAAGAGGTATTTTGACCTCAATGGGACTACCTGGTAAAATAAAGGTTACATTAAAATACATTATGCCCATCGTGGATATTATACACATTGTGCACTCTGCACAGTAAACGTATCCCAAAACCATATTAGAAAGTGTTTAATCGAAATTCTCTAGGCATTTGTTTTAGATCAAATCCCTGTAGCTCAGTTGGTAGAGCATGGCGCTTGCAACGCCAGGGTTGTGGGTTCGTTTCCCACGGGGGGCCAGTATGAAAATGTATGCACTCACTAACTGTAAGTCGCTCTGGATAAGAGCGTCTGCTAAATGACTAAAATGTAAATGTAAATTTCATCTCTCAGTTTTGTTTTGTTTTAAAGCAAACTGATTCATCCAGAAGATATATAATCCCTGATCAGAAGCGAGGGACCATTCAGATGAGAAGTGTCTAATTGTGTGTTGTGGTGAACAGGGGGCTGCTGCGTGCATCACTGGTGTGCGGTGTGGTCAGAGGGAGTGAAGCAGGCGGAGGAGGAGCTGGAGAATGTGGACAAGGCCGTCATCTCAGGGACACAGCAGGTAGGTTAAACACATGACACCTCGGATTTAAATCTTTGCAAACTCTGAAGTCACAATTTGACGATTGTTCTTGGAATAAACATGTAGGCACCCTTGAGTGGTACAGTTCTGACATTTGTAGAAAAAGAAAAACATACACCATCTGGAAATAATAGTTAAGAATTTTTATTAATTTCAATTGTGGAGTTCTGAAATTCTTCCTATTGGCACTGTCTCTCACCTGTAACCTTGTCTTTGAACCTTCCTTTTAGCTGTGTGAATATTGCAAGCGTCTGGGTGCTACCATCCGGTGCCATGCTGAGGGCTGCTCACGGTTCTACCACTTCCCCTGCTCTGCTGCCAGCGGCTCCTTCCAGTCCATGAAGCAGCTGGCTCTCCTCTGTCCAGAGCACATGGACAAGGCTGAGGAGATGGGTAAGGACACCTCCCAATCAAGTTGAGGTCAAAACCCCAACTCGATCATTAGGTTATGCTTTGTAACTGAGGTGTGTGTCCTCTGTGGTTTGTGTGATGACTTGGTCGTTTGGTTTGCTAACTATGGTTTGTCTGTCCTCCAGCGGGTGAGGAGGCGCGGTGTGCGGTCTGTGATTCTGCGGGGGAGCTGCTGAACCTGCTGTTCTGTACAGGCTGTGGGCAGCACTACCACGCCGCCTGTCTGGAGATCAGCGCCACGCCCATACAGAGATCAGGATGGCAGTGCCCAGAGTGTAAAGTGTGCCAGACATGCAGGTGAATGTCTCTTTGCTGCCCAATCTCACATTTTACTTTTCTTTGCAATATTTTTGTTTAAAATGGGGGAAACGCTCTCTTTTTTTACTTAATAAAAAAAAAAAAAAAATTGTTCACTGAATTGACGTGTCCTTTGGGAGACTGAAGCGCTGTTCCTGAACACTATCTACCATGCCCATCTACCACGTGCTTCCAATCAGTAGGGGCAGGGGTTTCCCTGATCATGTGACATTATCAGGAAAAAAAACTCTGGGCAGTTGTCAGTCTATTAGGTCTTAGAAGCAAGGCATGTAGCTGTCATTTAATAGGTTGACTCTAGAGGGTAAAATCATAGTTTTCTATAATTTTCCAGGCAACCGGGGGAGGACTCGATGATGTTAGTGTGTGATGCATGTGATAAGGGCTACCACACCTTCTGTCTCCAGCCAGCCATGGACTCTCTTCCCTCCGACACATGGAAGTGCAGAGTAAGAACATGTCTCACCTCCACTGACGATAGCTACTCCTGCCATAGTCTCCTCTGTTAGGAAAGGAGGATAATGATGCACTATAATTGAGGTCCATGGCCATATGTTGACCATGTCTTACTGTTAATGTTATTAGTTTTTTTGTTGTTGTTGAGGTTTTCAAAGGAAATGTTTATGACAATTACTTCTGTAAATTAAAGTAAGGGTATGCGGAAATTGAACCTTTTCTAATACGTGATACATTCTGAAAATGTAGCAGTTTCCTGTGAATAACCTCTTTAATTTCCCCCATGTATCCCTCAACTCAGAGGTGTCGGGTGTGTACGGACTGTGGTGCTCACGGTCCGACGCTGCCTGGCTCAACCCAGTGGTTTGACAACTATGCCGTGTGTGAGGGCTGCCAACGTACCCGCAGCTCTATGTGTGGCGTCTGCAGCAAATCCTCGGAGCCACCTGTCATGCTGCCGCGCTGCAGCAGCTGCCTCAGGTATGTCTACTGCCTCAGAATGAATACATTGGCAAGTTAATAAATCAGTCAGTCAATCAAAAACAATATAAAACATTTTTTATCAAGTTGTCACACTGTATTTTACAGTGACCTGGCCTAGACACCTGCCTTAAGAGCAACAGTAGACATTGATAACTACCACTATTTATGTAGCATTTGACCTGCTCTCATTCATCTATTCTTGACCAATCCTCTGTCATCTCCCTAGGTGGGTTCACAGTGAATGCTCCTCTATGTCAGAGCCACCTGAGGAAAAGTGTATCTGTTTGCTCTGCCGAGACAGAGAGCCTCCGGCAGACCCTGTCACACAGACAGACTTGGTGGAAATGCAGACTACAGAGACAGACGGGTCTGATGTGACGATAGAAGGACAGACGAACGTGTCCAAGATGACCGTGGGACAGACGGAGACCAAGACGGACGAGGAGGTGCCCATGGAGCTGGGTACGTTGACTGGACTGTTTTTTTTATTTTATTTTTTGTGCTTGATAAAATGGTCTACAGACCTTGATAGAAGTGTAGAGTTGACTGTTTGCTCCATCTCTGAAAGAGCAAAATGATTGTCTACCCACGTTTATCTTATCTAAGCCATCCTCACTCTAATGTAATTTATGTGATGCACTAAAGAAGAGTATAGAATCTGAGTGTATGGTGTTAGTTGTGTGATGAAGCTGACTTTGTCTTTTCAACAGGGACGGAGGCCGACGTGGTAGAAACAACAGGGGTAGTGGAGAGCACCATGGGAGAGGGGCCTCAGCTGGAAGTCCCTGCAGAACAGCCCATGGTCCAGGCTGAGGTTACAGAAAAATGTGAAACAACAGAACAACAGGAGGCTTCTAGTTTACCTGTGGTTGTTGTGGAAGAGAGGCCAGAGAAGGCTCCTAGCCCGCCACCTCAACCCCGGGTCAGCCCTGTCCCTGTCCTTGAGTCTCCGGAGTCACCAGAACAGCAACCGCCACAGTGGCCAGAGCCGGCAGCAGTAGTAGACCTGGGCCCTGTGCACAGAATGGAGGAGAATGTGGAGAAACAGGAAGAGGAGGTCAAACCCTCAACACAGCAGCAGACCAAACTGGAGGAGAAGAGAAGCGGTGAGGGCGTGTCTACCACCTCTCCAGAGTCACCAGCCCCTCCCATCTCCACGCAAGAGGTGGAGCCTGTTTCCATGGACACAGATGAGGCGGGGCTAAAGGAGGAAGCTGCAAAGAACCTAAAGCAGGAGCGCTCAGTGTCTCCTCCTGCTCCACATGCCGACACACAGGAGGCTGCTCCTTGTACTGTGGACATGGAGGACAGGGGGACTCACTCCGAGGTGGAGGATGAGTTTGGAGAACAGGAGGAGCAGGGGAAGGAGGCAGACGGAGAGGGTCATCATAGTCATCACAGAAGGGTCAAGATCAAGCAGGAGCCCCAGGAGCAGAGGAAGCCTGATCAGCTCCTCCTGGATGAGATGTCCAATCAGAGCCATCCGAGTCACGGGGACGAGAGCAGCTCTGGCTTCCTGGGCTCCCCGGCTGAAGGGGAGGCAGAGCCCGATGCACAGCTCTCGATGGAGCTCAGCCTCATACCCACCGAACGCTCGCGTTCCGACTCTCTGCTCACTGAGACAGACGATTCGCTGCCCTTTGACCCCCTCAAACCAGACTGGGAGAAGAAGAGGAGAGGCTCACCGGGACGCTCCAGGGTCAAACAGGTAAGGTCCAGTAACAAGTCATAGACCATTAACACTCATTCCAAAGTCTAACTCTGCCGTAGAGCAGAGGCCCATTTCGCAATGATAATGAGCTTCCAAAACTGACTCTGCAAACGTTTCTGTGTTATGTGTTGGCCGATGGCTAGATTCAGTGGTTTACAGTATGTGAGGTACTGGCATGGTTGGTGTTGGTCTTTTCAGGGGCGGGGCAGCAGCAGTTTCCCGGGGAAGCGGCGGCCTCGTGGTGGTGGCGGCGGTGGACGGGGCCGTGGCGGTAGGAACCGCCTCAAAGCCATGGCCTCCTGCATCGACGCGTTCCTGGTGAGTTGAACTGACCGACGATACAGAAACATTCAGACATTCAAACACTTTCATCCATCCATTCATTTACCCACTCACTCACTCATTGGAATATGTCATCAAATTTTGACATTGATCTTTACAATAGATACAAACCACAGCAGCAATTTATCACAGAGATCTTAAATGTTTGGAACTTCGTCTCTGTCTAAAGTTAATTCAACACAAACCACTTGATTAGAACTTGACTGTAGCAGAGTGTGATACATTCTATGTATAATACCTTTCCAGTGGTGGAAAAAGTACACAATTGTCATACTTGAGTAAAAGTAAAGATGCCTTTTAATACAAAATGACTCAAGTAAAAGTGAAAGTTACCCAGTAAAATACTACTTGAGTAAAAGTCTTAAGTATTTGGTTTTAAATATACTTATGTATCAAAAGTAAAAGTATAAATCATTTCACAATCCTTATATTAAGCAAATCAGACTGCACGATTTTCTATATTTTTTACGGATAGCCAGGGGCACACTCCGACATGGAGACATAATTTACAAACAAAGCATTTGTGTTTAGTGAGTCTGCCAGATCAGAGGCAGTAGGGATGACCAGGGATGTTCTCTTGATAAGTGCGTGAATTCTTGTCCTGCTAAGCATTCGAAATGTAACGAGTACTTTTGGGTGTCAGGGAAATTGTATGGAGTAAAAACTACATTATTTTCTAAAGGAATGTAGTGAAGTAAAAGTTGTCAAAAATATAAATAGTAAAGTACAGATACCCCAAAAAACTAATTAAGTACTTTACACCACTGTTCCTTTCCCCAGCTGAGCATGACGGCAGCAGACACTGGACTGAGTAAAGAGGAGGAGGAGGGGGAGGAAGATGAGGCTATGCAGAACACAGTGGTGCTCTTCTCTAACACTGATAAATTTGTCCTGCTTCAGGTAATGGATTCATGCTTTTCAGTTTGACATTTTCCAGTTACCCTGTGGCATTTACCATGTCAGATAGTCTTAGACATTTAAGGATCTTTGCTGTAGCACAAGCTGACAGGTTTTTCTTCTCTCGCTCTCAGGACATGTGTGTGGTGTGTGGCAGTTTTGGGAAGGGTGTGGAGGGGCAGCTTCTGGCGTGTGCTCAGTGTGCCCAATGTTACCATCCATACTGTGTAAACAGCAAAGTAAGCATCAACCTCTTTATTCTTTACCTCTTATTTAAGCAGATGCCTTAGCTACTGATAGTCTTCCTAATAATAAAACATTGAATTATTATAGTGCCTTTTGCGTACCCAAAGATGCTTTAAAATAGGCCACTATAAAGAAATCAAAAACAAGGGTTCAAGAGTTACAACACACCTACCTCTGGCTTCATGTTGATGACATTTTCAGGAATTAAACATGTAAATCTCTTTTAGATTTTCCACGGTATGCCTCTTCTCCTTCCTCCTGCAGATGACCAAGATGATGCTGCGTAAGGGCTGGCGTTGTCTGGAATGTATCGTGTGTGAGGTGTGTGGCAAGGCCTCGGACCCGGCCCGCCTGCTACTCTGTGACGATTGTGACGTTAGCTACCACACATACTGCCTGGACCCACCCCTACACACTGTACCCAAGGGCGGGTGGAAGTGCAAATGGTAAAACTCTTTAATTCATTTAACTTTTATTTATGCAGGTTATTCTCATTGAAAAATGAAATCTATTTTTACGAGAGAGACCTGTTTGAGACAGCAGCCAACTCTCACCATCCATGACACTCCCTGTTCAGTCATTTTGGGTCTGAAAAGGTTCAGATGTAAAGGAACTCAAATGGGGAATCTGCATGATATGCATAAAAGTCCTGCTGCTAAACTTGAAAGTTCAGTCCTCTGCCTCACTCTGTCCATAACATCCTCTCCCATCTCTGGATTTCACAAAAATGTTGACTTGGTCTGATAGCTAACGTACTTTAACCTGATGGCTCATTGGCCTTTTTGCTGTTGTCAATCAAATGTACTTATACGCCCCTTTTAAACAAAAAAAATGTCCTTTTATGATTGTTTGATTCATGAATTGGTTGACTGTGCCGTGTTTAGGTGTGTGTCCTGTATGCAGTGTGGTGCCAGCAGCCCGGGGTTCCACTGCGAGTGGCAGAACAACTATACCCACTGTGGCCCCTGTGCCAGCCTGGTCACCTGCCCTGTCTGCAGGGAGAACTTCATGGAGGAGGAGCTGCTGCTGCAGTGTCATTACTGTGACCGGTGGGTACCACTCATTACCACAACACACATACACACACATACACACACACACACACACACACACACACACACACACACACACACACACACACACACACACACATACAGTAGATATCTGGAAGGTTAGAGGACCCAAGACGGATCCTTGAGAGACCCCCGTTCTACTGTAGATCTGGTGTTATTGATTACTACACGTGGTTCTCTGTTCTTGAGAAGTTTCAAACCATGTGAGTTTTTAAAATCAGAATAAGAGATCTGTCCTGCATTGTCTCTCTCCATGTAGATGGGTACACGCTGTGTGTGAGAGTCTGTACACTGAGGACGAGGTGGAGCAAGCCTCTGATGAGGGCTTTGCTTGCACCTCTTGCACTCCCTACGTCCCCAGACCCATAGGTAAGTCTAACTTATAACGTATGAATAGAAAAAGTGAACATTCAGTGACTTGTGTATTTCTCACTGCTTCTCTGTCTACAGTAACAGTGGATGCAACGTACATGACAGCCATGAAGATAAAAGAACCAGGTAAGTTTTTGCCTCTCCTCAGTTTGTAATTCAGCAAATCTTACTTGCAATGACAACTTGGCATAGCACATTCACTGTTTGTATAGTTGCATATCACTCAATCTCCAAACGCTTCCTCCCCATCTAGAGCCCCAGTTCTACCGGTTGGAGGGGGTATGGCTGACCGAGACGGGCATGTCCCTGCTGCGCAGCATTTCCATGTCTCCCCTACACAAGAGACGGCAGCGGCGCTCCCGCCTGGGCATGCTGTGTGGCGACGGAGGACCCGACAGCATGGAGCTAAAGGAGGGAGAGGGAGACCGGGATGAGGGAAAAGGTGGGTGTTCAGATTTCTTTCTCCTGTTTCCACTATTTAACTGTCCAAGTGACAGGGTTGTAAAGGAGAAGGATGAAGTCGGTTGCCCTTTGATACTAATCTACGGTCAGATTAGTATTTTTCCCCCTAATGGACAAGAGTAGGATTTGGTTTGGTAAGCTAGCTGATCCCAGAACTGACCAACTTCTACCCACTGTGTCTACTTGCTTTAACAGGTCTGCTTGGATACACTACATCAGGCATGTATTTGACTACCCACCCTGACTTACCCTTCCTCTGAATTGACCTTTAATATCTCAATCTGTTCAAGGCTGTGGGGATCCCATGGAGTGTGAGCCAGGAGCTCCTGGTGTAAAACAGGAGCCTTCAGGGAGCCCAGACAGGGAGCTGGGAGCAGAGGGAGGTGCTGAGGGCATGGAGGAAGGCCTCCTCAAAGGTGTGGAGGAGACGGACGAGGGCAAGAAGAGGAAGAGGAAACCCTACAGACCAGGTCAGAGGTCAAGTCTTACTAGACATCTTGGGTAAAATAGTATTTGTTTTCTTTGAAATACTTTAGCCTTGCTTGATTTGAGTTTGCCTGGTGCAATGGAACTAATGAAACGTCCTGAAAGTGCAGGTCTGGCACTCCACCTATTAGAAAGAAAAGGGATACTATTAGAGCTCAGGTCTGTCCAACAGACCCCTGTAGTGAGAGGATATCATTTGTCACTGCTCTATGACGGTCACATTCAAGTGCTATTCAACGTTTTTAAATTGACTTAAAAATGTCCTGCAGGGATCGGTGGCTTCATGGTGCGTCAGAGAAAGTGTCACACTCGGATGAAGAAGGGTCTGTTCCCCCATCTGTCTCATCTGGCTGGAGACGGAACTGTTACTACAGACAGACAGACAAGAGAGAAGCCAGCCCTAGAGGAAGGCAAGTTACAGTTATAGAAGCCATCTGCTGCCATCATAGTGGTCAAACACTGAAATATTCTGACTATCTGTTAGAGAGGTCAAATTCTTTGATATTTCGTCAAGGAATATGATACACCTTTGTTTTCATTCATGTGCTTTAATGTGTCATCCTCCGGGACTCAAATGTTTATTGTGTGGATGTATGATTTATTTGTTACCAATGTTCCCTCTGAGCTGTGCGCAGTAGCACCGTGACTGCCACGCAGAAATATCAGCCCACAGAGAGAAGCACGAGATTGAACTTCACTCAACTTTCTAGAGCGGTGGTCACCAACCAGTCGATCGTGATGGCATTCCTAGTTGATCGGCAAATATTTCTGTAAAAAAACCAACGAGAAAGCCTTGTGTTCCTATTTTTTTTAGTTTTTTGTCTCGGGCTGTTGGCGGTAGGTGCACCCGATTCAGCTGCCCTGCGCGCCAGATAGGCCAACTGTTGCCATTTTCAACCATTCGATGTGTCTGAAGGTACAAACTCTGCCTTCCCGGCGGGCCCAGAGAGCAAATCAAGTGCACTATAGGCCTACCGCTGGCCAATCAGATGGCTCACATGACCGTGTCTGCAGTTACGTAGCAGACATAAAAGAAAGCAACAGCAAAGTTGATACTGTGAGATTTCAAAACGTTTAAAACCATGACTAGAAAGACTGTCAACGAATACAGAAAAGAGATGCTGTTTTTATGAGTGAGTTCATGTTTAAGCTCTTACTAAGCACTGTCAACACTTTCTATTCAACACTTTTATAAGCCATAAAATGCATGTTCTTCCTATTTCCACTCACCGCTACAACAAGCACTGCAGCAGTAATGAATGAGTAGGAAAGTGTATCTATAGGCTTGAGTTGATGTTGTTCTTATTAGCGGCTTAGTTCTTTTTTAATATCAAGGAATAATTCACTTTCTCTGTTCATCGGAGTAACAACATGAATTTTTGCATGAGGCAGAAATGATGCGGTGCGACTCGAGTTTCGCCATCAGCTGGAAGAGTGTGTCCCTTTTGTGTCAGTGTCAGTGGAGGAAAGGGAGCGCGGAGGGATGTTGAGAGGCAGTGGAGGAAAGGGAGCGCGGAGGGATGTTGAGAGGCAGTGGAGGAAAGGGAGCGCGGAGGGATGTTGAGAGGCAGTGGAGGAAAGGGAGCGCGGAGGGATGTTGAGAGGCAGTGGAGGAAAGGGAGCGCGGAGGGATGTTGAGAGGCAGTGGAGGAAGGGGAGCGCGGAGGGATGTTGAGAGGCAGTGGAGGAAAGGGAGCGCGGAGGGATGTTGAGAGGCAGTGGGGAAAGGGACGCGGAGGGATTTTGAGAGGCAGTGGAGGAAAGGGAGCGCGGAGGGATGTTGAGGCAGTGGAGTGAAAGGGAGCGCGGAGGGATGTTGAGAGGCAGTGGAGGAAAGGGAGCGCGGAGGGATGTTGAGGCAGTGGAGGAAAGGGAGCGCGGAGGGATGTTGAGAGGCAGTGGAGGAAAGGGAGCGCGGAGGGATGTTGAGGCAGTGGAGGAAAGGGAGCGCGGAGGGATGTTGAGGCAGTGGAGGAAAGGGAGCGCGGAGGGATGTTGAGGCAGTGGAGGAAAGGGAGCGCGGAGGGATGTTGAGAGGCAGTGGAGGAAAGGGAGCGCAGAGGGATGTTGAGAGGCAGTGGAGGAAAGGGAGCGTGGAGGGATGTTGAGAGGCAGTGGGGAAAGGGAGCGTGGAGGGATGTTGAGAGGCAGTGGAGGAAAGGGAGCGTGGAGGGATGTTGAGAGGCAGTGGAGGAAAGGGAGCGCGGAGGGATGTTGAGGCAGTGGAGGAAAGGGAGCGCGGAGGGATGTTGAGAGGCAGTGGAGGAAAGGGAGCGCGGAGGGATGTTGAGGCAGTGGAGGAAAGGGAGCGCGGAGGGATGTTGAGAGGCAGTGGAGGAAAGGGAGCGCGGAGGGATGTTGAGAGGTGGACCCTCAGTCTGCTCTCTCCCTCCGCTGGGACTGACCATCAGATGCAGGCATGATCAGCCCAGTAAAATAAAAAGCGAATTATTTAAACGTGTGCTCACTCTAGGATATATATACAGTCATGGCCAAAATTGTTGGCACCCCTGAAATTTTTCCAGAAAATGAAGTATTTCTCACAGAAAAGTATTGAAATTACACATGTTTTGCTATGCACATGTTTATTTCCTTTGTGTGTATTGGAATAACACAAAAAAAACAGGAAAAAAGCAAATTTGACATAATTTCACACAAAACTCAAAAAATGGGCCGGACAAAATGATTGGCACCCTTAACTTAATATTTAGTTGCACACCCTTTGGAAAAAATAACTGAAATCAGTCGCTTCCTATAACCATCAATAAGCTTCTTACACCTCTCACCCGGAATTTTGGACCACTCTTCTTTTGCAAACTGCTCCAGGTCTCTCATATTGGATGGGTGCCTTTTCCCAACAGCAATTTTAAGATCTCTCCACAGGTGTTCAATGGGATTAAGATCTGGACTCATTGCTGGCCACTTCAGAACTCTCCAGCACTTTGTTGCCATCCATTTCTGGGTGCTTTTTGAAGTATGTTTGGGGTCATTGTCCTGCTGGAAGACCCATGATCTCGGACGCAAACCCAGCTTTCTGACACTGGGCCCTACATTGCGACCCAAAATCCTTTGGTAATCCTCAGATTTCATGATGCCTTGCACACAGTCAAGGCACCCAGTGCCAGAGGCAGCAAAACAACCCCAAAACATCTTTGAACCTCCACCATATTTGACTGTAGGTACTGTGTTCTTTTCTTTGAAGGCTTCATTACATTTTCGGTAAACAGTAGAACGATGTGCTTTACCAAAAAGCTCTATCTTGGTCTCATCTGTCCATAAGACGTTCTCCCAGAAGGAATTTGGCTTACTCATGTACATTTTGGCAAACTGTAGTCTTGCTTTTTTATGTCTCTGTGTCAGCAGTGGGGTCCTCCTGGGTCTCCTGCCATAGCGTTTCATTTCATTCAAATTTCGACGTATAGTTCGCGCTGACACTGATGCACCCTGAGCCTGCAGGACAGCTTGAATTTCTTTGGAACTTGTTTGGGGCTGCTTATCCACCATCCGGACTATCCTGCGTTGCAACCTTTCATCAATTTTTCTCTTCCGTCCACGTCCAGGGAGATTAGCTACAGTGCCATGGGTTGCAAACTTCTTGATCATGTTGCGCACTGTGGACAAAGGAACATCTAGATCTCTGGAGATGGACTTGTAACCTTGAGATTGTTGATATTTTTCCACAATTTTGGTTCTCAAGTCCTCAGACAGTTCTCTTTTCCTCTTTCTGTTCTCCATGCTTAGTGTGGCACACACAGAAACACAATGCAAAGACTGAGTCAACTTCTCTCCTTTTTATCTGCTTTCAGGTGTGATTTTTAGATTGCCCACACCTGTTACTTGCCCCAGGTGAGTTTAAAGGAGCATCACATGCTTGGAACAAACTTATTTATCCACAATTTTGAAAGGGTGCCAATAACTTTGTCCGGCCCATTTTTTTAGTTTTGTGTGAAATTATGTCAAATTTGCTTTTTTCCTGTTTTTTTTTGTGTTATTCCAATACACACAAAGGAAATAAACATGTGCATAGCAAAACATGTGTAATTTCAATACTTTTCTGTGAGAAATACTTCATTTTCTGGAAAAATTTCAGGGGTGCCAACAATTTTGGCCATGACTGTATATATCCTACCTCAAATATATCCTACCTCAAATTTAGAAATATAATTCAAAACAAATGTCCCGAACAACAATGAATTGGCAGGGCAATTCAAGCAAAGCTAATATGCAGTGATAATGTATTGGGCCTATAGCTTATTGCACAAACCTAATTGCTACAGTACTGTTTTTAATTGGTTAATGTTGCGTAGGCTTACATTTTGTAAGTCAAGTAAAAAAATATATCTGAGTGGTAGATCTCTGCTTACATTTTGACTCAAAGTGATCTTGACTTAGAAAAGGTTGGTGACCACTGTTCTAGAGTTTTTCCTGTTAACACTATCAATGTTTCCTTTTACAGTGGCAATTGTGATCGAATCAACGCAATATTAGCCACTTTCAATGCAACATACCGAAACAAAACAAACTATGCAAGAGATTTTGTTGTAGGCAGAATGCATCGGAGTAGGATTCTATCGCATTGATGCGGAGTACTCAGCCCGTACTCTACAAAGATTGGTGCGGCATGAACAATCCGAGCTGCAGTAGGCCTAAATGCAAATAGACCATTACCATATATGGATCTGTGCCATTTACTTTGAACTGGACTGTGTTTACAGCATGAGCTGTCATGAGTAGATACGCTTGTTTTGAGATCAAAGCGAGAGCTGCATGTAGCCATGTGCACATTTTGTTCATATCCTTTGCTAGTTAGTGAGTTATTAGCCCAGTTATAGATCATTTGTAATAAGCAATAGGGGAGTGATGGCTTCCTACAAGAGCACAAAACGTGTACATTTCTAGACATCTTCGAAAAGCGAGTCAGGTAAAGAGCTTTTTTTTTGTCTTAAAGGGGCAGTGTTGTATTTTGAGACAGGCTTGAATAAGCTAATTAGCCAATAGGCAGAGGGTAGCATAATGTGTCTGATTCTCTGTAATAATGGTATGGGAATAATAATGCATTTTATTTTGTAAAGTGGTTTCTTGCATCACACAATAAACCAACATTTTCAGTCACCTTGTCTGAAGGACAAGTGGATAAACAGGTTAATGTCAAGCCCTGCATGTTTTTTTCAAAAGTCCCATGGAATGTAGGCCTACATTGAACACCACACATTGGCTTCTACTGTAGGCTGAATGATAGAACAACTATTTCCATGTTAACATTTTATCTCTATTGTTTTGATGTCAGGCCACTGGTAGGCCTACATTATGATCAAATAGCCACAGTAGCCTACTTGGCCACTGTTAAAACTGGAACTTAAAGTGGGTACAGCCTCAGTGTTCACAGTAAATGCGCGCTAGAAGTTGCACAGAATTTCAAGTTTGTGCTCAGCAGACCTGAAATTCGCTCAGTGCCTAATTTATTTTAGAGGGAACATTGTTTGTAACCCAAAATAAAATTAAGTTCCTGCTATCAAAATTGGGATTCTGAACATCAGAAATGACACCGGGTTGTGTTCGTTGACAGGGCCCCACCCAGACACACCTATAGATGGCCCCCCGGAGACTAAGCCAGCCGAGGGAGAGGGGGAGCAGGCCAAGAAACGACGAGGCAGGAAGAAGAGTAAGCTGGAGGACATGTTCCCAGCTTACCTGCAGGTTTGTTCTCGCTCACCACCTTTCACCATGGGCTATTCTAAACACTTCATATGGCAACCTAAAGGACCAGTTTCCCAGAGACAAATGTAGCCTAATGGACTACAAAACATGCTCAATTGAGATTCTCCATTGAAGTTGCTTCTTAGTCCAAGGCTAGACTTAATCTGTCTGAGAAACCAGCCCAGAGTGTCTAGTGACCATTCAACTCCATGTAGGACTGGCTAACATCATCATTCTCTCTGTCTCTCTGTGTGTGTAGGAGGCATTCTTTGGTAAACAACTGATGGACCGGAGTAAGGAGGCTCTCCTGGTTCCTCCAGGACAGAGGCATCATGGGGCCATGGGTCTCCTACTGCCTCCACTGCCTCACGCACAGGGGGCCCGACCCACCGCTCCTGACGCAATTGAGGTCCGGGAGCGAGCGATGGGGGCTGGGATGCACCTGAAGCAGGAGGGGGGTGAGGGATCACAGGCTCAGATAGAGGGATCAGAGTCGTCTTCATCTGTCAAAGAACAGGGCTCAACGGACCCTCAAGGCTCCAACACTGAGAAGCATGAAGGTAAGAGATCACAGTGATGCTGAAATGTTGCCGATTTAATAAAAGTGATACTTCAAGCGTAGTGTGCAGGAGTTTTTTTTCGAGAAACTTAAAGGAATTGTGTTTTGACATATGTTATCAGTTTGGTCTTGGTGGATGTTTTTGCCCGCTGTCCTACACTCCTGTTTTTTTCTCTCTCCCAGGTCTTCCTCAGGGCATGGAGAGTCAGGACTCTGAGCAGTTCTTCAGGAAGGTCCTGGGGTCATCAGAGGGTGTGTCTCTAGGAGGGTCCCTACAGAGCAGCATGAGGCCCATCCTAGAGGGAGGCAAGGGGGAGATGAACTGCAGCGGTCTGCCACAGAGGAGCCTTCTCACAGGTAGTTGTACAGGCCTGAGCGCTGCTAGGGGGAATCTATACCCATTCACACTATCATGCCTAGAGAGCTCACTTAGAGGAAGTAGAAATGAGTAGGATGTTGAACTTAGATATCTCACTTAGAGAAAGGACTAGAAAAGGTGAACTGTGTGATGCTATATGGAGCAATAGTTGTAAAGGACCCTTTATGTTGTTCAGGAAACGTTCGTGTCATGTCACTCATACAAGCTGATCTCTTTCAGGATCCCTGCCCTCCGCTGGTATGATGGACTCCTTCCCTGGACTTTCTCAGTCTCCCTTCTTTGACATGCGGGAAAGGGGTGGCCTGTTCAGTCCAGATGGGGGAGAGGAGAGCCCGTGGGCCAACCCCTCCACCCCAGCCACCCCCTCCACTCCTCCTACCCCCACCGAGGTAGATGGAGACGGGCTGTCCTATAACCAGCGCAGCCTCCAGCGCTGGGAGAAGGATGAGGAGCTTGGAGAGATGTCCACCATCTCCCCTGTACTCTACGCAAACACAAACTTCCCCACTCTCAGACGGGACTACCCAGGTGAATAGATGGAGGGAGATAATAGTTTTAAAAAATGACAATGAAAAAGTGGAATATTCTAGTTTTTAGGACATGTATTTTTTTTGCTGTGAATGAGGTGGTGCTTCTAGAGTCCTAATGAAACAAACTTTTGTTATCTCTGAAAATGAACCAAACATCAAATGTTTTGACTTCAGATTACTGGAATATAAATAATGTAAGTTGTGATCCTCTCTCCTCTCCACTCTATGACAGACTGGTCCAGTCGGTGCAAACAGATCATGAAGATCTGGAGGAAGATTTCAGCTGCTGACAAGGTTCCTTTTCTTCAAAAGGCCAAAGACAATCGAGCGGCTCAGCGGATCAACAAGGCACAGAAGGTGAGAGTTTAGGCCAGAGCATTGATTCATAGGGCCAGCTTCCTTGACCCAGATCAAGCCCACTCCTGAACTTAAACATTTCCAATGAAAATGCTTTTATTCCACTTGAAGTCTTAATCTGGGTTCAGGAAACCAGCCCAAAGCATAAGATTGTCACTGTATGCAGTCTCATTGCTTCTCTCCAACTGTCTCTTTTCTTCTCATTCTACAGCAGGCAGAGAGCCAGGTGTGTCGGCCCATCAAGACGGAAGGGGGTGGAGGTGGTGGTGTTCGGGTCAAAGGTGAACGTCCCAACCTGCACCTCCAGATCCCCCCTCCCTCAGGTTCCGTCTCCACCTCCTCCCAACCCAGCTCGGCGGAGAGCCTGTTCCCCTTCCACCCCGACTCGGGATCCTCTTCCACCTTCTTCCCTGACGGTCCTCTCAAGACCCCGGGCTCGGCATCGGCAGATATGCGGACAGATCCCTTTGCCAAGCTGCCTCCCCAGTCCCCCCATCCCTCCACCCCATACTCCTCCCACCAGGCCGCCTCCAGCCCCATGCAGGGCCAGGCCTCTTCCTCAGGTTACCCACACCCCTGCCCACAGGGCCCTCCTCAGGGACACCCGGCTAGCCTCGGCCCCTTTGACATGCAGCCAGGGAATCCCCGGCGGGCTCAGCAGGTCGACCCCTTCTTCAGGCCGCAGCAACAGCAGATCCAGGGTCACCTGCCCCAGTCACAGCAGGGCTCTCAGGAGCACTTAGGCCCCCAAGAAAACCCTCGGTCCAGGGGTGGAGGGCCCGTGGACTCTCCTCTCTTCTCCCCGCCCCACACCACCCACTATGGAGACCCATTCCGCGGCCAGCAGCAGGGGATGGGGCGTCCAGAATACGGTTCCTCCCCTTCCCAGGTGTCCTCGCCTTCTGGGATGGGACAGGGGCAATACAGGGCTGATGTGAGCGGAGGACCCTCTCCCCGCTCCTCCTCCACGGGACGCCAGGACCTGAGTAACACGGGCTCCCCTGCAGGAATGCTGGACTCGGGGGATGGCTTGTTTAAGGCTCCCATGACGCCACGGATGCACCAAGGAGAGGGTGGGGTGTTACTCCATCCCGGAGCCTCACCCCATCCCGGAGCCTCACCCAACCACCCCTCTGAGGTCTACCGCCAGTCCCCCTCCACCCCGTTCCAGGACCCCTATGCCCAGCCTCCCCTCACCCCCAGGCCCCAGTCTGGGGACAGCTGCTCCCCCCTCCCCCAGCAGAGGCACCCCCAGGCTCAGCAGGAATCCTGCCCCAGGATCCCCTCCAGCCCCCAGTCCCAGGTCAGCTCCCTCTCTCCCCTCACTCCTGGAGCCCCCTCCAACGACGCATTCTCTGTCCAGTCCCCGGCTTCCACCTCCCGCTTCCAGTCCCCTGACCCTTACTCCCGGCCCCCCTCGCGCCCCCATTCCAGGGACCCCTTCACTGCTCTGCACAAGCCCCCCCGGCCCACCTCCACTGCTCCAGAGGGCACCCCCAGCTACAGAGGCTCACCTCACCCCAACCAGCCTCCCTCACTCCCCCCGTCGTCCACCCCTGTGGGGGACCCTCTCTCTGGGAAACCCTCTGGGCCGCCTGGGTTCAGCCGTGGCCCCAACATAGCCTATCAGATGGCCCAGCAGCAGCAACAACAACAACTCCTTCATCAACAGCAACAACAACAACTCCAACAACAGACCATAGGTGCTGACTTCCACTCCAGGATGCCCCCCCAGCAGGACCCCATAGCCCCCTGCCCCCCAGATGCACCTCACCCCCCGGGGGCTATGCCCGGTGCCCAGGAGATGCCCGACATGTCAGCGGTTCAGGATCCTTCACTACTGGGCCTCAGCCCTTCTGAGTTGGAGAAGCACAGACAGGTACATGTTCAATTTTATTTGCTTTTATTAGGATCTCCTTTATTCGACTACAGGGCTAATCTTCTGAGTCCTTCAACATCTACAGTGAGGGAAAAAAGTATTTGATCCCCTGCTGATTTTGTACGTTTGCCCACTGACAAAGAAATTATCAGTCTATAATTTTAATGGTAGGTTTATTTGAACAGTGAGAGACAAAATAACAACAAAAATATCCAGGTAAACGCATGTCAAAAATGTTTTCAATTGATTTGCATTTTAATGAGGGAAATAAGTATTTGACCCCTCTGCAAAACATGACTTAGTACTTGGTGGCAAAAACCTTGTTGGCAATCACAGAGGTCAGACGTTTCTTGTAGTTGGCCACCAGGTTTGCACACATCTCAGGAGGGATTTTGTTCCACTCCTCTTTGCAGATCTTCTCCAAGTCATTAGGGTTTCGAGGCTGACGTTTGGCAACTCGAACCTTCAGCTCCCTCCACAGATTTTCTATGAGATTAAGGTCTGGAGACTGGCTAGGCCACTCCAGGACCTTAATGTGCTTCTTCTTGAGCCACTCCTTTGTTGCCTTGGCCGTGTGTTTTGGGTCATTGCCATGCTGGAATACCCATCCACGACCCATTTTCAATGCCCTGGCTGAGGGAAGGAGGTTCTCACCCAAGATTTGACGGTACATGGCCCCGTTCATCGTCCCTTTGATGCGGTGAAGTTGTCCTGTCCCCTTAGCAGAAAAATACCCCCAAAGCATAATGTTTCCACCTCCATGTTTGACGGTGGGGATGGTGTTCTTGGGGTCATAGGCAGCATTCCTCTTCCTCCAAACACAGCGAGTTGAGTTGATGCCAAAGAGCTCGATTTTGGTCTCATCTGACCACAACAATTTCACCCAGTTCTCCTCTGAATCATTCAGATGTTCATTGGCAAACTTCAGACGGCCCTGTATATGTGCTTTCTTGAGCAGGGGGACCTTGCAGGCGCTGCAGGATTTCAGTCCTTCACGGCTTAGTGTGTTACCAATTGTTTTCTTGGTGACTATGGTCCCAGCTGCCTTGAGATCATTGACAAGATCCTCCTGTGTAGTTCTGGGCTGATTCCTCACCATTCTCATGATCATTGCAACTCCACGAGGTGATATCTTGCATGGAGCCCCAGGCAGAGGGAGATTTACAGTTCTTTTGTGTTTCTTCCATTTGCGAATAATTGCACCAACTGTTGTCACCTTCTCACCAAGCTGCTTGGCGATGGTTTTGTAGCCCATTCCAGCCTTGTGTAGGTCTACAATCTTGTCCCTGACATCCTTGGAGAGCTCTTTGGTCTTGGCCATGGTGGAGAGTTTGGAATCTGATTGATTGATTGCTTCTGTGGACAGGTGTCTTTTATACAGGTAACAAGCTGAGATTAGGAGCACTCCCTTTAAGAGTGTGCTCCTAATCTCAGATCGTTACCTGTATAAAAGACACCTGGGAGCCAGAAATCTTTCTGATTGAGAGGGGGTCAAATACTTATTTCCCTCATTAAAATGCAAATCAATGTATAACATTTTTGATATGCGTTTTTCTGGATTTTTTTGTTGTTATTCTGTCTCTCACTGTTCAAATAAACCTACCATTAAAATTATAGACTGATAATTTCTTTGTCAGTGGGCAAACGTACAAAATCAGCAGGGGATCAAATACTTTCTTCCCTCACTGTAAAGATACATATTTATAATTTTTCGTCCTGACGACCTCTGACCTGTGTTTCTTATTTTCCTCTGATAGCGACAGAAACTGAGGGAGTTTTTGATTCGGCAGCAGATGCAGCGAAACTCAATCCGGCAGGAGAAAGAGGCCGCCGCAACCAGCAGTGCCACCCCTGGCTGGCCTGGAGGAGACATGGCAGCCTATCAGCAAGACAAAGCCCACCGTGCTCCACCACCCTACCCACAGGTACACTATTATATGTCAACCAACATGTCTGAAATCAACTTGGGTCGTGTTCAAAAAATGTTTTGAATCTGAGTGAAACTGGGAGGTGTACTACCTGTCCAATAAGAACAGTTTTGTTACAGTTTGCCCTACTGAACCCTTCTCAGCGGTTCCTTAGTATTTTTATTTTAATTGCTCCTGAGGGGATTGATAAAGTTTGAATTAAATTGTAGGTCCTTGTTGTTTGTCCCTATAGGACCGTGCCGCCACTGCTGCTGGTGCCCAGGCAGCATTGGCAGGGAAGATGCCCCTTACTGTGTGTCCCATGGATGGTGGCCGTCCGCCACCCCCAGGGACCCCTGCTATGATGGACCCCAACCAGCTCAGGTATGCACTCAAACCTCTGCTAAAAAAATAAAATAATAACCTCTCCTTTCACTTCCCTCCATCTTACTTCTCTTTGTCTATTTCTTAAATGCACACATAGCTATACATTGAAATGAATGCCATCAGGAGTTGTTTTCAGCAAAGATAACCTTTGTGCACAACACTTTGTCTCATTAGCTTGCGGTACATGTTTTGCATTTGTCTGTATTTCTCTTTTGTAGACAACCAGGGCCCCCCAACCCCCAGGGCATGTATGGTCGTCCTCAGTTCCCTGGCCAGTGGCAGCAGGGCCCAGGTCCCCGTCGCTTCCCTCAGCCTGGCATGGAGGGTGTGGGCCCCAGGCAGCACCTCAACGCTCCCCTCAACATCCAACAGGCCATGCAGCAGGGTATGGCTAACCCCCGTGGCCTGGTGCCTGGCCCTGGAGGGGAACCCATGCAGTCCGGGATGGACCCCGGAGGACCCCCACCACAGTTCATTGAGCTGAGGCACAACTCCCAGAGGCTGCCCGTGGGGACCCAGATTCTCCAACGAGGGCCCCAGCAACGGCCGCGCCTCTACATCCCCCAGCAGCAGGAAATGGCCCCCGGCCAGTTTGTTCAGCATCCGATGCCTCAGGGTATGGACTCTCAGACAGAGGGGGTCAGAGACTCACAGCTGGGGCTACAGCGAGGTAGTATGGGTCTATTACTGCCCCAGCAGAGCACTGGCCCCTCACAGCAGCAACAACAACAACTCCATCTCCAATCCCAGACAGGTACTCCTCAGACCCCTAACACTCCCAGCTCTCACTCTGGGCAGCAGCACCAGCCTCCCCAGACCTCCACAGAGGCCCAGGCTGGAGCTCCAGATGACCCTAGTGTTGACGACCTGGAGGACCCGTTTGCCCCAAAAGGGCTAGGGGATGCCCCCGGAGATGGAGGAGTGGAAGATGAGGATGACCTGGCTCTGGATCTAGACCCTGATAAGGGTGATGACGACCTGGGTAACCTTGACAACCTGGAAACCACGGACCCGCACCTAGACGACTTACTCAACAGTGACGAGTTTGACCTGCTGGCTTATACGGACCCCGAGCTGGACCAAGGGGACCCCAAGGATGTTTTCTCGGACCAGTTGCGGTTGGTGGAAGCAGAGGGTGAAACTCCAGGTACCTCTGGGGCTCAGGACAGCAAAGTGGAACAGAAACCAAAAGTGGAGCAAAACCCAACCCCAAACACAGGGGGCGCCATTTCCTCCACAACTCTCCATCCCTCCTCCTCGGAGTCTACCGTCACCTCCAGGATAAAGCTGGAGCCAGGCCAAGTGGTGGTGAAGGATGAGATGGGAGATGCTGTCTCCATGCTCCTTCAAAGAAACAAACCCACCACCCAACCAGAGAACCAGGGTGCTTCACTGAACTCTGTGCGTTTAGGAGGGCTCCCATACCCTCTGCCGGGTCAGGCTGATTCCTTATCCTCCATGGGGGAGGACCCCCTGGGGCTGCCTGACGGAGGGGGACAGCATTCCCCTGCCGTGGATCTAGACAAAGTCGAGAGCTCCCTGGAAGCCAGCGAGCTTCCCTTGCTGATCCAGGACCTGCTGGAGCACGAGAAGAAGGAGCTCCAGAAACAGCAACAGCAGCAGCTCAGCTCCCTCCACCAGGGGGTGATGGGAGGGCACATGGGAGGCCACCCCAACCCCCAGGGGGGTCCTGGACATATCATGCTGCCCCAGCACCACCGCCCCCCACCCCAGGGCATGATGGGACAGCCAGGTATGGTGCCACGCCCTCCACACCTTTTGCAGCAGCAAAGGCTCATGGGACAACCTGGGATGACGCCGCAGCACATGGCTGCCATGGCTCAGCAACAAGGAATAATGAGGGTGGGGCAACCTGGAGGTATTCATCCAGGACTCAACCCTCAGCAGCAGCAGCAACAGATGGTCAAACAGTCAGCTCTGGCTAATAACTTCTTCCCTGATAAAGGTAAATAAATATAAATTCTCGAGATTGCTTGAATCATGACTCTTGCTTGAATCATGACTCTTGCTTGAATCATGACTCTTGCTTGAATAATGACTCTTGCTTGAATCAGTAATCTTTGTTTGAATCATTAATCTTTGTTTGAATCATGACGTTTTCCTTTCATATATTTGACCTGGTGTTTCTGCTTGCTCACAGATCTAGACAAGTTTGTGACGGACGACATCATGGATCCCATCGTCAAGGCGAAGATGGTGGCACTGAAGGGCATCAAGAGAGTGTTGGCACAGGACCCAATGGGGGTTCCCTCTGGCATCAACAGGCAACAGGTCTCTCTGTTGGCCCAGAGACTAGCTTCAGGAACAGGAGACCCACAGGGTCAACTCGTGTCTGGCCCATCTAAGGTACAGTGTCTCACTTGTCCAAACATAACCAGGACAATATGTGTTCATAATATTTATTTTGTAACACAGATCAATTGCTATGGGATCTTCAGAACACAATCACTCGATTCGTTTAGCTGATTTATGTATTTTGACAACTTTTTAGGAAGGGGAAAGCAGTGATTCAACACAATCTAGACCCAACCCTCCCCAGTTTGTACAAGGGATCATCAGTAAGTTCTACTAATTTCTCATCTTTATAATACTTAAATGTATTTCAGTTAGTTGATGTAGTCCAGTGTTTCCCAAACCTCTTCTTGAGTACCCCCAGCCATTGAACAAATTTGATGTATTCCAGTACAAGCCAACCAGATTGAATTGGTCAACTAATCACCCCCTGTTCTCACTACCAGACGATGCGGAACAACACCAGTATGAGGAGTGGCTCCTGCACACCCAGCAGCTGCTGCAGATGCAGCTCAAGTTCCTGGAGGAGCAGATTGGAGCTCAGCGCAAGTCCCGCAAGGCTCTGTGTGCCAAGCAGCGCACTGCCAAGAAGGCAGGCCGCGAGTTCGCCGAGGCTGACGCAGAGAAACTCAAACTGGTCACTGAGGAGCAGAGCAAGATCCAGAAACAGCTGGACCAGGTGGGGAAAATGCTCCGAAAATCCTTACCCTCTCCACACCCCCACCCACCCTCGTGTTTCCAGTCTTAAGATGGTACTAGGCACCTGTTAACCCATATCTCTTGTTGTGTTTCAGGTGCGAAAGCAGCAGAAGGAACACACCAACCTGATTGCAGAGTACAGGAGCAAGCAGCAGCAGCACCAGCAGTGCTCTGGTCTCCTGGCCCCAGGGCCCTCTACCCAGGTGCCCCACACACTCTCCAAGATGCCTGGGCAGATGATGGGCCAGCAAGGAGCTCCCGTGATGAGCCAACCTCCAGGAATCATGCCCCAGGGAATCATGCCCCAGGGAGGGATGCCCGTCCGAATGCCCCCTCAGGGGCAGCCGTTCCTGGGAGGAGGCCAGCCCCAGCACCTTGGAGCTCTGGGAGTCAGACCCCCTGGTCCTCCTGGTGGTCCTCCCGCAGCATTCTTCCCCCAGGGTCCAGGAGGAGTCCAAGGAGCAGACCCAAGACTTATCCAGGAGAGACAACACAGGATGCAGATGATCCAGAAACTACAACAGCAGCAGCAACAACAGGCGACGATGCAAGGCCAGCAGCCCATGCCACATCCAGGTGGCCAACCAGGTATGTTGCCACAACCACAGCCAGGCATCATGGGTAACCCTATGATGGGTCAACAACCAAACCTCCAACAGGGAATGATGCCCAACCAGGCCATGGTGCCCCAGGTTACAGTATCAGGCCAGGCTGTGGCCCAGCCACCGCAGACCCTGATGGGAGGGCAGCCTATGAACCAGCCTCTAGGCATGACTGGGGCCCAGCCAGGTATACAGCAGCAACAGAGGCCTCAGGTCATGATGGGCGAGCAGGGAGTAGGAGGACCCCCTCAGCACCATGGACTCAGAGGACCCGGCCAGGCCCAGCTCACACCTCAACAACAAATCCTGGCCCAGCGCATGTTGGCGCAGCAGCAGCAACTGAAGCTACAGCAGCAGCAAGTGGCACAACAACAGCTCAGGCAACCAACACCACAGGGCTTCATCAGCCAACCCAACCAGTCTCAAGACTCCCAGGGAGGACTATCTCAACCTGCCACCCCAGGTCAAATGGGGTCTTCTCCCGCTTCAGCAGGGGGGAGCACTCGGGTCACCCCTCAACCAGCTGAGGGGCTGCAGCATGGGGAGGGTGGCATCCTTAGCCCTATCTCTAGGACCCCTCCACAGCAGGGTGGACCTGGACCTTCAATCCCGGGCCAGATGACCCAACCAGGGGCTGCTGGAGAGCAACAGGCGGCAGTGGGACAACAGCAGAAGTACATGGCCCAGCAGCAGCAACAGCAACCGGCATCACAGCAACAACAACAACCTCCTCAAAATGCTCAAGCTGGACTTCAACAGCAAGCAGGTTACCAACAGGCTGGCATGCATCCCCAAGTACAACAGCAGCAACCACAGCAGCAACAGCAGCTTCAACAACAACTCTCTCTACAGCGACAGAGCTCCCTCAATGCTGATGCCTCAAAGTCTGGTTTGGTCACCGTCAAGCAGGAAGGACAGCAGATGTGTTACATGGCCCAACATCAACAGCAGCAACGACTACAACAACAGAATCTTATGCAGCAAGCACAGGACCCCATTGGACAACAACCGCAACAACAACAACATGACGGTATGGGCCAGATGCAGAATGTGATAGGTCAACAGAACCACCCTGGTCAGCCTCAGCCTGTCGCTGGTATGCCAGGCCACCCTAGCCCCCAGCAACAGGCTCTCATGGCACAGCAGGCCCAGCAGCAGAAGCAGCATGCCATGATGGGCATGCTGAGAGCCCAGCAGCAGGTCATGATGCCTGGCCAGAGGCCTGGAGTTCCACCTGGTCAGATACGCACCCCAGTCAACATCCAGGCTATCATAGCCCAGAACCCCCAGCTCCGACACCTCACCCCCAACCAGCAGATACAGCACATCCAGGCCATGATCCAACAGCGCCAGCTCCAACTGCAGCAACAACAACAGGGCCAGATGCTGAGGCTCCAGGTGGGTCAGGGACAGCCAGGGCAGATGAGACCCCAGGGGCCCCCAGGACCAGGGCAGCAGGTGGGACAGGTCCAGAGAATGCCTGGAGGTCTGGAGGCCCAGCAGCAGCAGATGCACTATGGAGGAGCTCTGGGGAAACCAGTGGGAGTGGGCTCCCCGCAACAACCAGGGATGATGGGCCCCGGCCAACCACTGGGCGTGGTGACCCCTCAGATGCAGCAGCAAGGGATCATGGGACCTGTAGTCCAACAGCAGCAGCCAGGAGCCTCGCCTCAGTACGCCTTGAGTGTCCAGCAGCAGCAGATGATGCAGCAACAACAGGCCCAACAACACCAGATGAGAGGCCAGGTGCCCATGGCTCGCTCCCCCATGGGGCAGGTACGTGCTGGGCCCCCCCAAGGCCACCACATCAGGCCCATGTCTCCCCGTCAGCCCCTGGCCAACTCCCCAGGAGACCCCCAGCGCCACGCCATGGCACAGGCGATGGGGATGCGTCAACCCAACCCAAACCAAGTCATGCAACAACAACAGCTCCACATGACTCAAAAACACTTCCAGGGCTCTCCCTCCCACCCAGGCTCCCCTGCAGGATCCTCAGTCCAGAAACAGGAAGCAGGCATGAGCCCAGCTACCCCAGGCACGCCACACTCCACCCACATTGCCTCTCCGTCTGTAATCGACGTGGCAGCTGGGAAAGGTAGTCCTTACAGTCAGATCAAGCCCTCTCCTCTCAGGTCACCTGGAGCAACGAACAGTCCCCTGGACTACCCTGGGCTTAAGGCCGAAAGTGGCGACACAACCCAGAGCCAAGTCCCCCCGAATGGGCTTTCGCCTCAGAAGGGTGAGAGTGGACCGCAGGTCCAACAGCATCCACAACAGGGCTTAGTGAACCAGGGTGGTCCTCAACCTCCACCAGGCTCCAGAGAGGGAACTCTGTATAAGATGACCCTACAGAACATCAAACAGGAGCCCAGAGAGTTGACCTGTGACAGGGAAGGAGGTGGTGGTCCTCACTCTGGGGCCATCAAGAGGGAGGTGACTGGGGAGCCGGTTGGAGGGTTTGGTAACAGTGGTCCTGGACCAGGAGGGGACCCTGGAGCCCACGTCCCCAGGACTGAGACAGGACAACAGCTACTGCAGAAGCTCCTGAGGACCAAAAATCTGCAGCTGGCAGCTCAGAGGCCCTCTGAAGGCATCCACAACGAGATCAATGGACACATCAACAGCAAGCTGGCCATGCTAGAGCAGAAACTACAGGGGACTCCACGCAATATGGAGGTGAGTTGGATATATCCTGTCCGTTATAGATTTTTTTTTATTCTCCATGTTGCAAGCTAGTAGGTGCTAGTCATAGAAATAGACTTAAGCCCTATTCGGACAGGATTCGTTTTACAGGGGGAGGTCGGGTAATGTAATTACATGCACAAAAGACCACATCTATAATTTTTGTCCCGTCAGAATTTGCCATGTCAGTCATTTTTACTTTTTACTTTTTATTATTATTGACGTTATTATTCCAGCCCCAAAAACCTATTTATTTTGTCAAACTCCAAGGTCCTCTGGTACTACTAATCCCGTACCTGTGTTTTGAGGGATATTAGAGTTGAACAGGTGTTGCACACAGTTTGGGTAAGAACATGGGAAAAGATTGATGCTTAAAACAAACTGCTGTGGATGCCTACAGATGTACTTGTCTTGTAAAAGTTGAAGCGGATGATATTGTGCCAATGAATTGATAAATTGCCAAATACGTTAGTTAATTAAATGTCTGCATACAGTTCATGTTTTTTTATTGAGATTGTTTTTTATTTATTTTATATATTTATTTCACCTTTATTTAACCAGGTAAGCCAGTTGAGAACAAGTTCTCATTTACAACTGCGACCTGGCCAAGATAAAGCAAAGCAGTGCGATTTAAAAACAACAACACAGAGTTACATATGGGGTAAAAAAAACATAAAGTCAAAAAATACAACAGAAAATATATATATACAGTATGTAGCAAGTTATGGAGGTAAGGCAATAAATAGGCTATAGTGCAAAATAATTACTATTAGTATTAACACTGGAATGCTAGATGTGCAAGAGATTATGTGCAAATAGAGATACTGGGGTGCAAAAGAGCAAAATAAATAACAATATAGGGATGAGGTAGTTGGGTGGGCTAATTTCAGATGGGCTGTGTACAGGTGCAGTGATCGGTAAGGTGCTCTGACAACTGATGCTTAAAGTTAGTGAGGGAGATAAGTGTCTCCAGCTTCAGAGATTTTTGCAATCCGTTCGTTTTGACTTTCTTTGAACTGAAAGCCAATATTAGGCTATCCCTAGACAAGTTGAAATATCTTCACGTCTAGAACAGCCTCCAGGCTTCCATCATAACGATACATTTTAAATGAGAAAAAATTAAAAAATGACGGGGCAGTTTGGTAAAACTAATCCTGTCCGAATAGTCAACTGGAAAAACAGACATGCTGGGGTATTCATTACATAAGACGTTCTATAGTAATAAGAGTCCTGTGCAAATAGGGCCTTAGAATGTTTTAGAAATTGTATTTCTTTATGGTACTAGTCCACTCAAATGGGATTCCTTGCTTCATTGCTTTTGTTTGTCCTCATCACAGGATCTGCAGTCCATCACAAAGAGGGCTCCTGTTGCCAAGGCAAAGCGCTCCAACAAGACTGGAGAACGAGCGCCCCAGTCCCGTAAGAAGAAGAAAGAGGAGGTTGGGAAGAGCACTGAAGCCCTGATGAAACATCTGAAACAGGTAAGACCTTTTCTCACTGAAACGTAGTGTAACACTTGAATTTAATGAAAGGTTGGAATGAACCATTGATTTTAGTGTATGCTGTATTCTTTTTAAATATATTATTGTGTTATGAAAAGCGCTCTATAAAAAATAACTTTATTCAAACAGTGCATGTTTTGTAGGATGCCACTTTTGACAGTAATACTTAATGTGGCTTTCCCCATGCTTGTTTTGTTGTTGTGAAAATAAAAGTTACAATTTTGTCATTCTTTTCTTCCAGGGCCTTTCTCTCCTTCCCCTGATGGAGCCCTCCATCACTGCCAGTCTGGACCTGTTCGCCCCCTTCGGCAGTAGCCCAGCCAACGGCAAGGCCCTGCTCAAGGGCTCCTTTGGAAATGCGTTACTGGGCAACATCCCAGACTACTACTCTCAGCTGCTCACCAAGGTATGAGCAGCAAGCTGATGTGTCCAGCATGGACTTACAGTTGTGGTCCAGATTTCCAGCTGCATATTGCTCTTGATGCAGGAGTAACAGTGTGTATACTGAACGAAAATATAAACGCAACAATTTCAACGATTTTACTGAGTTACAGTTCATGTAAGGAAATCCGTCAATTTAAATAAATTCACTAGACCCTAATCTATGGATTTCACATGACTGGGCAGGGGCACAGCCATGGGTGGGCCTGGGAGGGCATAGGCCCACCCACTTGGGAGCCAGGCCCAACCACTGGGGAGCTAGGCCCAGCCAATCAGAATGGTTTTTTCCACACAAAAGGGCTTTATTACAGACAAATACTCCTCAGTTTCATCAGCTGTCCGGGTGGCTGGTCTCAGACGATCCCGCAGGTGAAGAAGCCAGATGTGGAGGTCCTGGGCTGGCGTGGTTACACATGGTCTGCGGTTGTGAGCCTGTTGGACGTACTGCCAAATTCTCTAAAATGATATTGGAGGTGGCTTATGGTAGAGAAATGAACATTCAATTCTCTGGCAACAGCTCTGGTGGACATTCCTGCAGTCAACATGCCAATTGCACGCCCCCTCAAAACTTGAGACATCTATGGTATTGTGTTGTGTGACAAAACTGCACATTTTAGAGTGGCCTTTTATTGTCCGCAGCACAAGATGCACCTGTGTAATGATCATGCTGTTTAATCAACTTCTTGATATTTCACACCTGTCAGGTGGATGGATTATCTTGACAAAGGAGAAATGCTCACTAATGGGAATGTAAACAAATTTGTGTACCAAATTTCAGAGAAATACGCTTTTTGTGCGAATGGAACATTTCTGGGATCTTTTATTTCAGCTCATAAAACATGGGACCAACACTTCACATGTTGCGTTTATATTTTTGTTCAGTATATATTCGCTCGCCCAGCACCTAAGTTTAACAAGATGTGCATATGACAACAAGCACTTTTATTGCTCTCAATGATCCCACTGTCCACTGTGTAACCTTTGCTAACCGTATATCCTAACAGAGTAACCTCAGTAATCCACCGACACCCCCATCCTCCCTGCCCCCCACACCACCCCCCGCGATGCAGCACAAATTGCTCAACGGGACTACAGCTGTGGAGGAGCTGACTGAGGGACAGAAGGAGACCGAGACCACAGAGGACTCTATGGGTAAGACAAGGCTTTTATTGTTTTTTTTTCTTCTTTCAAATAAAGACACACTTAGTCTCACTTCTGAACGTCTGTAGGGTTTTATACAGCCGCCGCAAAATTCAGGTAGTGAATTGTGTAATCTAAAACCCTCAGCAATTTCATGGTCCTTCGAGCCGGATAGGAACAATGTAAGGATTTTGTAGAGTGCAATCCGACTTGATGAGCAGCTGAACAGTATGTTAGTGGATTGTCTCTCTCTCTATAATTTGTCTGCAGATTCTGTGACTGAGGAGGTGAAGAGTGTGGATATTTTAGCAGCGCTCCCCACCCCACCTCACAACCAGAACGAGGACATCAGGTATGATATGGAGCCTGTCTGAATCCTGTGTCGCTGCGTAACATGCACTGTATCAGTGACGGCTGTGTTAGTGATTTAAAGCGTTTTGGAGGAGGATGGGTGAAAAATAAATTTGAGAAAAATAACTTTTTAAATAGCCTAAGCCAATGGGATGACATGCTTTTATTGGGATGACATTATTGTTATTTTTTAACTTTTCCTCAATATTTTGAGGGGGACCATCCTCCTCTACTTCTCTGGCATGTACAGTTGAAGTCGGAAGTTTACATACACTTAGGTTGGAGTCATTAAAACTTGTTTTTCAACCACGCCACACATTTCTTGTTAACAAACTATAGTTTTGGCAAGTCGGTTAGGACATCTACTTTGTGCATGACACAAGTAATTTTTCCAACAATTGTTTACAGACAGATTATTTCACTTATAATTCACTGTATCACAATTCCAGTGGGTCAGAAGTTTACATACACTAAGTTGACTGTGCCTTTAAACAGCTTGGAAAATTCCAGAAAATGATGTCATTGCTTTAGAAGCTTCTGATTTGAGTCAATTGGAGGTATACCTGTGGATGTATTTCAAGGCCTACCTTCAAACTCAGTGCCTCTTTGCTTGACATCATGGGAAAATCTAAAGAAATCAGCCAAGATCTCAGAAAAATAATTGTAGACCTTCACAAGTCTGGTTCATCCTTGGGAGCAATTTCCAAACGCCTGAAGGTACCACGTTCATCTGTACAAACAATAGTACGCAAGTATAAACACCATGGGACCACGCAGCCGTCATACCGCTCAGGAAGGAGACGTGTTCTGTCTCCTAGAGATGAACGTACTTTGGTGCGGAAAGTGCAAATCAATCCCAGAACAACAGCAAAGGACCTTGTGAAGATGCTGGAGGAAATGGGTACAAAAGTATCTATATCCACAGTAAAACGAGTCCTATATCGACATAACCTGAAAGGCCGCTCAGCAAGGAAGAAGCCACTGCTCCAAAACTGCCGTAAAAAAGCCAGACTATGGTTTGCAACTGCACATGGGGACAAAGATCGTACTTTTTGGAGAAATGTCCTCTGGTCTGATGAAACAAAAATAGAACTGTTTGGCCATAATGACCATCGTTATGTTTGGAGGAAAAAGGGGGATCCTTGCAAGCCGAAGAACACCATCCCAACCGTGAAGCACAGGTGTGGCAGCATCATGCTGTGGGGGTGCTTTGCTGCAGGAGGGACTGGTACACTTCACAAAATAGATGGCATCATGAGGAAGGAAAAGTATGTGGATATATTGAAGCAACATCTCAAGACATCAGTCAGGAAGTTAAAGCTTGGTCGCAAATGGACAATGACCCCAAGCATACTTCCAAAGTTGTGGCAAAATGGCTTAAGGACAACAAAGTCAAGGTATTGGACTGGCCATCACAAAGCCCTGACCTCAATCCTATAGAAAATGTGTGGGCAGAACTGAAAAAGCGTGTGCGAGCAAGGAGGCCTACAAACCTGACTCAGTTACACCAGCTTTGTCAGGAGGAATGGGCCAAATTTCACCCAACTTATTGTGGAAGGCTACCTGACACGTTTGACCCAAGTTAAACAATTTAAAGGCAATGCTACCAAATACTAATTGAGTGTATGTAAACTTCCGACCCACTGGGAATGTGATGAAATAAATAAAAGCTGAAATAAATAATTATCTCTACTATTATTCTGACATTTCACATTCATAAAATAAAGTGGTGATCCTAACTGACCTAAGACTGGGAATTTTTACGAGGATTAAATGTCAGGAATTGTGTAAAACTGAGTTTAAATATATTTGGCTAAGGTTGTATGTAAACTTCCGACTTCAGCTGTATATTACCTCCCATCCTATATCCAGTGTGGCCTTTAGACTGACCGACTGTATTTTACTCTCAATGCATTTTACTCTCAATGCTGAAGAAGTACTCCAATAATAATGAGTAGTTATTTAGTATGAAGTTAATCTCAGACATGACTTTACCTGTATCTTTCAGGATGGAAAGTGATGAGGACAGCGATGCTCCAGATAGTATTGTCCCAGCGTCCTCTCCTGAGTGTGACTTAGGTGACGAGGTGCTACGCTTCCCTCGCCTCAGAGAACCCAAAGAGGAGGAGATGGAGAGAACCATCTCCCCTACCATACCACTCATCCCCCGCACTGCTGTCCCAGGTAGGACCACTATACGGGCAGAAAAAGTATACTTGTTGAAAATGCACTTGTTGTAAGTGGTTCTTGAGCATCTAAGAGCATTGCTCAATGACTAAAATACTTTAACATGTGTATATAAAAACAAAACAAATTTGGACTATCACTTCTGAAATAATAACTTAATTATGAATTCCCTCCTCTTGCCAGTCCACATCACCTTTTTTCTGTCCTTGTCCAGTGTTTCCAGAGAACAAGCCGTTTCAAGCAGTGGATGGCAAGGCGGTGTCTACAACCAACCCCTGGGACAAAGCCAAGAGCAACGAGGTGGCTGTGACCTTCACACTGTCCTCCGCTGCAGCCAAGGTACTGAGTGAACCCCCTTCCAACCCTACACCCCTTTCTGACCCACTCTCATTTTCACTCCAACCCCTCACCTAGATTGGTCCCAGATCAGTTTGTGCTGTCTTGCCAACTCCTATGGTAATTGTCGCGTCATGTTTGGCAATATGGCTCAAACAGATGTGGGACCAGGCTATCTCCTATCTGAACTGAACCATGAACTGTCTGTCATGGAAAAACAACCAAGATCTTGATTGATTGGTTGACGTATATTTCTCCAGAATCTGAACCATGTGATGGTGGTGGTGGCTCAGCTCCTCCACATGCGGATGCCTGGTTCCTATGAGGTAGCTTTCTCTCCCAGCCCAGGCAGGGCAGGAGCTTCAGGACCAGGGAAAGAACCCGTACAACCAGGTACTGGACCTCCAGCTGACTTCTGTTATATTTATCTTCACAGTTAAAAAGTCCCAAATGGAATGTAGGTACAATGTAGTTACCTACTAAATACTGATCTAACCAGAAAGCTAAGGTTTAGCGAGGAGGATAAGCTGATCCTAGATCTGTGCCTAAGTTTTAAAGTTTCTCCAGGTTGAATTGACCCCGTCTTACTTTTGAGAAAATGGTTAGCTAGATAAATGTATTGGAGAAACAGAACATAAAATGGTCAGATACATTTATTGATGAAACCGATCATCTAACAGTGAAGTCTCCCCTCAGGTGCCCTGTGTGTGAAGACAGGTGATCTAGACGGTAGTTCACCCAGCCAGAATGCAGAGTGGCTGAGACAGTTTGATGTTTCTCTGCCAGGCTGCACTCTGAAGAAACAGGTGGACATCCTCTCACTCATCAAACAGGTACGTCCGACTGCATTCTATCTATTTCAGGGATGTGATATTTCCTGATTAATCAGAAATGCCTACTTTTTTTACATTTATCCTCCAATATAATAGAAACAGAGCTTGATCTTGATCACATCCCTGTACAGTCTCCCTATGATATAACCTTGTATATTTATGATGTAGCTATATTTATCATTATATTTTAGCTGGAATTTGTTAATAGTATGCTCATATAAATCTGTGATTGTCTATGCTTAATATCTGGAACAACATAAAAAAAAACATCTGGAAATAGCTATATAAATCCAATCGATTACTATTAGTCATGGCTTTCTTTTTGTCAGTGACCTGGAGATGATCCCTACAAACAATTTCATTTCTCACTCAGGAGTTGCCGGAACAGGAGGACAACCCGGTTCAGCACTGTTATACAACTAACGTGTCTGACCTGGATGTACACCACCTTCCCATCATCCCTGTTGAAGACTCCCCTCCCTCCTCTCCCTCTCCTCCACCTCCTGCCCCTGCTCTTACTAGTGAGCCTGAGACTGAGCCTCCAACCCAGCCAGCCTCCCCCTCCACCACCCAGCCAGCCTCCCCCTCCACCACACAGCCAGCCTCCCCCTCCACCACCCAGCCAGCCTCCCCCTCCACCACCCAGCCAGCCTCCCCCTCCACCACCCAGCCAGCCTCCCCCTCCACCACCCAGCCAGCTTCCCCCTCCACCACCCAGCCAGCCTCCCCCTCCACCACCCAGCCAGCCTCCCCCTCCACCACCCAGCCAGCCTCCTACTCCACCAAACAGCCAGCCTCTCCCTCTCAAGCTCCCTCCAGCCCTGTTCAGACCACCATTGAGGTCAAAACGGAGCCTGCCACCACCACTGTTCAGATCAAAATGGAGGCCGAGGCTGAGGAGACCATCCTTCCCACTCCTGACGCTGGCACTGAGGCTGCTGCTGCTGCTGAGACGGACTATGATGCCAAGCCTGCTGACCAGCCAGCCCCCCAGCCCCAGGACACCCCCAACTCCCCCACCCCCAGCCTGGAGGTGATCTCCCCCAAGGTGAAGCACCGCAGCAGGCCCCTCTCCCCCGACCCTGAGGAGATTGTAGTTCGGCCCAAGGTGAAGAAGTGGAAGGGCCTCCGCTGGAAGCGTCTCCAGATCGTCATCACCATCCGTAAAGGAGGCTCCAAGAAGGAGAGCAGCCGCGGTGTCTCAGAGCTCATGGAGCGTCTCCGCATCACCTTAAGACCTGACAAGCTGCCTCGGGACAAACGCAAGTGCTGCTTCTGCCACGAGGAGGGCGACGGCGCCACGGACGGCCCCGCCAGGCTCCTCAACATCGACGTGGACCTGTGGGTTCATCTCAACTGCGCCCTGTGGAGCACGGAGGTGTACGAGACGCAGGGAGGCGCTCTGATGAACGTAGAAATGGCATTGAGGCGTGGGCTCCGCACCCGCTGTGCCTACTGCCAGAAGACTGGCGCTACCAACAGCTGCAACCGCCTGCGCTGCCCCAACGTCTACCACTTCGCGTGCGGCATCCGGGCCCGCTGCATGTTCTTCAGGGACAAGACCATGCTGTGCACCCAACACAAACTAAAAGGACCCAGCGAGGAGGAGCTGACGGGCTTCACCGTGTTCCGGCGCGTCTACATCGAGAGAGATGAGGTCAAGCAGATCGCCAGTATCTTACAACGCGGCGACCGTATACACCTGTTCCGCGTAGGCGGCCTCATCTTCCACGCCGTAGGTCAGCTGCTGCCATCTCAGATGCAAGCCTTCCACTCCCCGACCGCCATCTTCCCCGTGGGCTACGAGGCTACCAGGATCTACTGGAGCACGCGGGTGCCTAACCGCCGGTGTCGGTATCGTTGTCGTATCAGTGAGACGGAGGGAAGGCCGCTGTTCGAGGTTCGGGTGCTGGAGCATGGACAGGAGGACCTGCACTACCGCGACACCAGCCCAGAAGGTATGTTCTCAAATTCTGTCCCCACACCGTCCTCTGGCTGCCCCTATGTGTTGAAACGTCCAATCACAGAACTGACCACAGTTGGGGTTAATATGTCAAAATTGCCGTTAATCCAGAATTGAATTGCAATTTTTTGAAATTGCACCATTGCAATCCCAGCCATGTCTGTAATTTAAATGGAATTGACTTCATCTCTGCAATTTTACTAATCTGGTCTGTAACCATGTCGTGTGTTTTCTCTCCTTTCTCTCTAGGTATCTGGGACAGAGTGGTTCAGTCTGTAGCTAAGCTGAGAGAAGAGGCTGCCATGCTGAAGCTGTTCACTGATCACGTGAAGGGAGAGGAGATGTACGGCCTCACTGTCCACGCCGTGCTGCGCATCACTGAGTCGGTAAGAAGTCCTTTGGGAAAGCAGCATCGGCATCGCCATTTTGTTTTTCCCCTCTGCTCTCATTGCTTCCATAATATCAAGGTCTGTGTCTCCAAAGACAGTCTTATTATCCATACAGAGCCCTACTGTGAGTCCTTTTGACAAGAGTCACTATGGCTCTGGTTAAAAGCGGTGCACTGTAGAGGGAATAGGGTGTCATCTGAGAGAGAGATCATGTTATTTCATCGTTAACTTCACCTACATCCTGTGTGTTACGTTATCAGTTGCCTGGAGTGGAGAACTGCCAGAACTATGTGTTCCGCTACGGTCGCCACCCTCTGATGGAGCTGCCCCTCATGATCAACCCCACCGGCTGCGCCCGCTCCGAACCCAAGATCCTCACACACTGCAAGAGGTAAGAATGCAGTATAGTCCTCCACAGATGATGTTATTTAACTGTAGAGATCAACTGCAGGTGAGACTGCAATATAGTCTTCCAAATAGATTTATAGTCATAGTAGTTATAGAACATGGTAATAGTTTTGTATTATAAACTGGGTTGTTCGAGCCCTGAATGCTGATTTGGCCGAAAGCTGTGGTATATCAGACCACGGGTATAACAAAACATTTATTTTTACTGCTCTAATTACGTTGGTAACCAGTTTATAATAGCAATAAGGCTCCTCCGGGGTTTGTGATATATGGTCAATATACCACAGCTAAGGGCTGTATCCAGGGACTCCATGTTGCGTTGTGTGTAAGAGCAGCCCTTAGCCGTGGTATGTTGGCCATATACCACACCCCCTCTGGCCTAATTGCTTAAGTATTCTAGCATAGATCATCTAGATGTAGATATTACAGATGCGCGGGTTGACTCATGACCCGCAGTCCGGTTATATCCGCGGGGCGGGCGGGTGGGTTTAGGATCATTAAATATTGTGTGGATGAAGGGCGGGTGGGTTGGCAGGCGGGTTGAATAAAGGGGAAAACAATACCTTAACAAATCCATAGGCCTAAATGTAGCATTGTTGTGCAATTTATATCTATAGGCTACATTGAGGTTTTTCTTTCATTATTTAAGGCTATCTGGCATTAGTGCTTAAGCCTATGGCCTAACTGTATGCGCACCAAATGGCCTACAGGTCAATCGCCAAATGCTTTTGGAAAAGGGCAGAAAAAGTTAACCCCCTAATAAATCTAATTATCATAATAAAAAATCCCCATACAAATATGTTAGATGAAACTAGAGATATCTGTTTTTTTGCGTTGGATGCGTCTCAATCCACCGAATCCGCCTATGTCGCTCTTCCGCATCTGCGGTGAAAGGTGACAGAGCTAGAGCGGTGTTTGTCAGACCATGAGACATCCCAAAAATCGTTGGAAAGATGAGACTCTCACGAACCCGATGGTGTTGCTCTACGGCCCCCACAAGCGTCTTGGGACTCATCTGAAGTCGGTACAACCGATCTGCCAACTTCTGTCTGTAGCATCCGAACAGTTTGGGCTACACACTAACAGTTTGGGCTACACACTAATGCAAAGGTGAGACTCTCACGAACACGTTGGTTGTTTTTGATCCACAGGCCTCACAAGACTCGTCTGAATGTCCCCCCGGTACCAGTTGAAAAATGAATAGAAGTATATATGGAGACTGTTTACTGCCAAAGATAAGGGGTTAAATACATGTAAAAAACAAACTTCCTTTAAAATTATTTTTGGGAGACTTTCTGTTCCATGTAGTGAATCTGTTATTCAATGCGTTTTGTATGGGCTAAGAGCAGTAAGGCCCTAAATAATATTTCATTTTTTTTTTTTATACTTAAAAGGGGTCTTAAAATTCAAAATGAAATAGCTAAATGATCTTTGGTATGAACTTCTTAAAACAATTCCATATAGCTTAGTAGACCCCCTTTTTTTAAATTAATTTTTTGGGGTCCCTAAATTTTTTGCTCCGCGAAAGAAGCAGCGATGACAAAGAACTTTACCGATGTCAACTAGATTGAAGCTTTCATTCTATTGATTTTCTGACATTATTCTGGAGAGCAAGAGCTTATTTCGTCTTCTAGGGCAACAAATAGGCCAATGACAGAAGAGAATCGACATGTAGCCTATTTAATTATAGACAAGTTTACTAACAAATAGCCTATCAAAATGTTGGAAATTATAAGCAGAAACCTATCTAAATCAGACCAAAAAAAATTATCCTTCCGCCGTCTCTGACTGTAGCCTTCAGCGCATTTTCTATATTAGCAGGTTAGGGTCGGGTGCGGGCCTCAGATTTTCACTTTATTACAAATAGCCGGGCATTTGCGGGTGGGTTATTAGCAATTGCGGGTGTGGGTGAACAAACAGCTGACCTGCGCACCACTAATAGATATACTGTGTAGAGAATCTAGATATACTCTTTCCATGACAGACTGACCAGGTGAAAGATATGATCCCTTATTGATGTCACCTGTTAAATCCACTTCAATCAGTGTAGATGAAGGGGAGGAGACAGGTTAAAGATGGATTTTTAAGCCTTGAGACAAATGAGACATGGATTGGGTATGTGCCATTGTGAGGGTGAATGGGCAAGACAAGATATTTAAGTGCCTTTGAACGGGTTATGGTAGTAGATGCCAGGTGCACTGGTTTGAGTGTGCCAAGAACTGCAACGCACACTCAAGACATCCCTTGTGTATCAAGAATAGTCCACCACCCAAAGGATATCCAGCCAACTTGACAACTGTGGGAAGCATTGGAGTCAACATGGGCCAGCATCCCTGTGGAACGCTTTCGACACCTTGTAGTTCATGCACCAACGAATTGAGGCTGTTTTGAGGGCAAAAGGGAGTGCAGCTCAATATTAGGAAGGTGTTCCTAATGTTTTGTCCACTCAGTGTAGATATGCAGAGCAGAGGTGTCACTCATTCCATGGAGGGCCTAGTGTCTGCTGGTTTTTGGTTTTTCCTTTCAATTAAGACCTAGACAACCAGGTGAGGGGAGTTCCTTACTAATCAGTGACCTTAATTCATCAATCAAGTCCAGGGAGGAGGGAAAACCCGCAGACACTCTGCCTTCCGTGGAATGAGTTTGACACGTGTAGTGCAGAGAATCCAGATGTAGAGAAATGAGTTGTGTGGTCTGTTAGTAGTTGATTATATTGTTGTTAGTTCAGGCCACATTCTGATTGGTCAAAACGTGTGTTCCAGACATGTATTATCCACTATATGCAATAATGAGGGAGCTCTCCCTCACAGTCGAGACAGAAATATCCTCCATTTTTTTATTTGTATTGTGTTTCATCAAATGTTGTCATATTGAGTAGTGAAACTAGTAGCTTCTTAGTAGTAAACTAAAAAGTCTAAACTGAATGATTTACATGATGACTGTGCAGACTGACTCTGATCTAGTTCTGTGTCTCTTTCTCTTAGGCCTCACACCCTGAACAGTACGTCCATGTCCAAGGCCTACCAGAGCACCTTCACCGGTGAGATCAACACCCCCTACAGCAAGCAGTTTGTCCACTCCAAGTCCTCCCAGTACCGCCGTCTGAAGACAGAGTGGAAGAACAACGTCTACCTGGCCCGGTCCCAAATCCAGGGCCTGGGGCTGTACGCTGCCAAGGACCTGGACAAACACACCATGGTCATCGAGTATATAGGAACCATCATCCGCAACGAGGTGGCCAACCGCCGCGAGAAGATCTATGAGGAACAGGTGGGTGGCTCTTGAATAGTCTAGTAGTAGCAGTCAATAGTCTTTGTTTTCTTAGTTTATTTGGATCCCCAATAGCTGTTACAGTTACAACACTGGTCCCCACAAGAAGAGTAGCTGTGATCAATTGTTTATTGATTTTACACAACTTAACAAGAGGCTGAAAAGACAAAGGTTGTAATATATTTGTCCATAATGTATCAGTGGATTGGAACATTTATGACCTCTCTTCCTTCTTGTTTTCTTCTAGAACCGTGGGATCTACATGTTCCGCACCAACAACGAGCATGTGATCGATGCCACTCTGACCGGCGGCCCTGCTCGGTAAGTGTTGGTCTATTTTCTCTTTCATATTATGTTTGTCCCTGTCTCACCCTCTGTTTTCCTCTTCAGCTATGTCAACCACTCCTGTGCGCCCAACTGTGTTGCCGAGGTGGTGACATTTGACAAAGAGGATAAGATCATCATCATCTCCAGTCGCAGGATCCCCAAGGGAGAAGAGGTAAGACAGAGAGCCCTGGTCACAATGCACATGTACATTTGATAGTTTATATACATACCGCAGTATGTAAAGTCCTTTACATTTTAAACTGGTTCTTTGGGGGTCTTGGTTGTGTTACGGTAAAGCATGTTTGGACAACTAAACCAGGCTTTATAAACACATGTTACAGCATAGTGTTGTTACTTACCCTCTGTTTCTTCTCCTAGCTGACGTACGACTATCAGTTTGACTTTGAGGACGATCAGCACAAGATCCCTTGCCACTGCGGAGCCTGGAATTGCCGAAAGTGGATGAACTAAACTAACTGGGAGAAATGGAGAGATATAAAGATGGATGGAACACTACTGCTGCGCCAAGGCCTTTAGAATCTTTAGAACTACTTCTACTACCCAGTTCATAAGCTGTTCCTAAACTGATTGTAAGCTGTTCATAAGCTGACGAACGAGGAGGGAAACAGACCTCCAAAACAATAAAAGACTAAGATGTTTGCATTCACACCTGTAGCCAAAGGTTTGAAGAGCATTATGGAATAAAAGCAAACAAACCACCTCTGACATCCAGCCGAATGGTGGGACAATCTTTTTGTGGATGAACTGTGTCCTCTGCCATAAGCAACTCTTTCCTCTACCTATCTACCTACCACTCCCCCTTCAATAACTGGCTGGAATACAATCCTCTCTACATCTACCAAATGTTCTGATTCTATCTATGTTATATCAATACTCTCTTAGGGCAGACCTCACCTCACCTAGAGCTTTGAAGAAAGAAGCCATTTTAAGTACTATGAAATAACTAATGCATTTTTTTAAAAGGCGGACCTATCCTCCTTCTCCTGCACTCCCCCCTTCCTAACCCCCAAGGAAAAGACACTTTCCCATCGTCATTGGTGAAGATTGACTTCCCAACGTGGATATTATTGGCTAGCTAGACAATCCTGAAGACAGTGGCTCTGAGTCTGTAGAGAAGAACTATGTATCTTTGAGAGGCAGAAGAAAAAATGTAAGATAATATAAAGTTGACCTGTGGCTCCAGAGGCACCAGACAGAAAGACAGGTGTTTTATTATTGTCCCAACTGACTAAAGGAGTTTAAAGGTGGGTTAGTTGGACCCCAGTCTACCTCATTGATCTAGTGGGAAGTGACTGCTTACTTTGTATAAAAACTGTTAACTGCTACTGTGGAGGGGGGAGAGAATGTTGTTTTCATTAGGCTAATAGTATAGCCTTCTCAGACAAGCAGGGAAACTTAAACTAACACAGGTTTGCTCTTATCTATTCTATGCTGATGATGATTTTACAATAATGAGCCAACAATATTATTATTATTATTCATTAATGATGTATAGAGACAGAAGGAATTATATGACCGTTTATTGGTTAAGACATCGCATTAAGATCAATCACAAGCTTAACAGGTGTCGTTAAATGACTCCTGATCATCCTTGATTTTATGTAGCTATTTGTTTTGTTTTGCCATTCTCTGCATGTGGGAATTGACACAATAACAGCCACCCTTATGTTGCTGAAGACTGAGGGGGAGAGATTGGTGTGAATGATTGTTGCTTACACAGCTTCAGTATCACAAGCAGGAACAAGTCTTTCGCAAGACGATCAAGTCCAACTAACTAATGAGTGAAGGAAATGTAATGTACGCTTGCTGCTTCATACCTTCAGGTCACACGTTAAGCAGAAAGCTTGCTGGGAATGATGCAAGACTAGACTACTATCCCATTTGTTTTTCACCTTTTAGTCCTTCAAATTCCATCTGCATTTTGATAGTTTTCTTTTCTCGAATGACGTCACCCATGAATCTAGCCTCTTCCTCTCTTTATCATGTAGTGGACAGTCGTAAACGTTACTGTAGTGAGTCTTTCTCTGCCTGGCCCAGCCTGACCACACCACAGCTAGGTGTATTTTTAAAGATCCCTTTATTGTGGTTTTCTAGTGGTAGTACTGTCTTCTATACTGGAGGCTTGAAGCAATGGCAGGCGAAGACTTGTAAAAAAAAAAAAGGGCATTTCTTTTTTTATGAAAGTAAATTAATAACAAAGTAAATCTTTAAAGTGTGTGGGGGGGGGGGGGGGGGGGGGGGTTCTGAAGTCTCCATGACGTCTCCCTTCTACTTTTACTCTACCATGACCTCGCGTAAGAAAAATGCAAAAGTGTACAAACTGTATATATACACTATAGGGGGCAACAAACTATCAACCCATTTTTAATCTAAAATTGTAGAGAAATAAAGTTGATTTATAAATCTACCACTGGATATCATTTTATCAGAAAGATTAAGCTGTATATATATATATATATATATGTAAAATGGCGAACTACATAATATCTATGTATATGAACCAGTGTTTTTGCATTTACCTGTTTTTCTATTAGCGTTTTTTGATATAAGATTTCAAAGACAGTTTCTTAAAATAGGTATGCGAACACGGCTGGTCTTCAATGACTTGGATGAGAAGCCACGGGTGAAAATGTTTGGAGAAAGTTGATCCATTATGGAAAGTTGTCATGATTATTACAACATGAGAAATCACTTACTGCGTAAAAGGAGTACAACGGTGCATAGCATGTGTATTTATGTAACATTTGTTCATTTAGTTTTTATTTATGCTACTGCGTGTCGTTTTACCAAAACCTATCTATACCTTCGTCACCATTGGATTCTAAGTACGAGTCAGTAAATGGAAAATCTTAAACTTCTCCCTGGCTAGGATATTAGTTATTAACTATGATTGTTTTATTTTTATCTTCCCTATAGAAGTGAATGTGTTGGTATACCTTGTGAAAACGGCTACTCGGCCTCCATGTTATGACTAAATATTCAAAGTGAACCCCGTACTTCCGTACCTGAGACTGAATTGCACTCTCAATAGTAAATGAATGGAGTAGTTCTCTAAAAGTTATGAGGCAGTGATATTTTTTTCTTGGTATGTTTATATTTCAAGGAAAGACCATGAGACATTTTGCTGCTCACTGGATTTCAGCCTAAATAATTTCTTGAATATTTTAGGATTTCAATAAAGAGATTGCTAAGTTTTTTTTTTTTTTTTTACCTAACCTACTTTTTAAGACATTTGTACAGCAGCGCTTTTAGGGAATATTAAATAATTTTTTATCATGTGGCATGTTTTGTATGAATATAATTTTGAATTGTAAAAATTTGACGACGCCAGAGGTTGCATCTCTTTCTAGACAGCTTTCCCCATTATTCTTTCCCTGCTTTTTTTTCTTTCTTGTAAAAGGAAAATAAAATGCATTTTAAAATATCTTGGATCTTCATCTTTTTTATAAAACAAATGCGACTTGAGATTAGAATGCGACTTTCAGGATAACTTGCAGGACTTAACGTAGGCTAAATCTAAAAAAAGTGACATTCAAAAGAAGACTCAAATTAAGAAAAACTTGTATTTATTACTGTATATCACCTACCATATGTACACATTTTCCAACTATTCCTGAAAAGATTGGTTTAACATGGTTTTTGAAGAGGTATGTTTGATATAACAAAACTAATTCCCATGACAACAGACCAAAACATTGACAAGAATATTTTACATTTGGTTCTATTGACAACCATTTGTTCCTCAAAGCACTCATGAAATACCAGGACAGATTGACCCCAAAATACTCAATCTGTGGTATATCCTTTCCAATGTCACAGTACCAGCAACATACATTTACTGGTATACACGCTCTATATCGAAATGAAAAACACAAATAGAATGCAGCGAGGAGACAAAAAAGTAATTTGTTCCATCTTTGACCTCCTTAAAGATGGAGGTCCCAGTGTTGAGACAGCATGCAGAACAAGGGACTGTTTGAGAGCCTAGTTCAAGTGTTAGCCTAATAACCGTTATATAATGCACATCCAACCTATTCTTCTTGGATCAAAATTAAAACAAATTCTGAAAATAAATACGCAAATGGTGAGATGAGCTGATAGTTACATCACGATATTATCAACTATTCCAGTGTCAATAAAGGGAAAATAGATGGCTACAACCCAAGAAAGGACATACAGAAAAAAGTTACAATTTTGCTCCGTGACAAGCTTTCCTTTGAGTTCTGCATCTCAGAGAAACCAACCGAAAGTACCAATGAAGATGTGTCGTTGAAAAATGACCATACCACAGACGATATTTTTTTTTAAATATACAAATCAAATGTAGCCATCAGTATTAGCTATAGTAAAACAGTATTTTCATTGGCATTGTTTTGCCTCTTATTTGCTCAGTGTATTGGCCACTAGCACTACCCACAGGTGAAATGAGGCTATTTCCTAAGATTGAACACGAGAAAGCCGGTAGTTATCGAGGTTGGAGCTACCCCAGCTAACTTATCACATATGGAGAATGCGGAATTAGAAATACGTTATAAATCAAAATCTTTGACTGGCTGAGACACTGGCTTCCTCATCACATCAAATATCACAGTGTATTCATCAAAATATGAAATAATACAACTATTAACAAATAAATAAAACCATAAAAAAATAACACCCCTGCCACATTTCAAAAACAACAAACTGGACCAAATGTAAAATGTGATACATGTAGGAGTCACATACAAGGAGGAGGGAGTCACAGACATTGAGTGCAACATGTTTTTTGTGGAATATTCAAGTAGCAGAATGCACACTTTGTCTGCTTAAATAAAACACAATGTTAAATGACCAATAAACTACAGGCTATTCCAGGCTGTTCCAGGCTTCTGAAAGCAGTATAGGAATGTCTGCAGTCTACTCTGCTGATGTATATTGGGACATCGCTATAGAAGTGACTTTCCTGCCTTATATGGTAGGTTGGTTTCATCCTGTAGAGACGGTTGGGCTGGGGGACGAAAACAGTGCTTCTGCTACTCTCCCACATGCTCCAAAAAGCAATGTGTTGCCATGAAAACAAATAAGTCAAACTCATAACACAATATTCTTTAACTAAAAAATGTGTTTTCAAGATGTAGCTAGTCCATTGTGGGAAAATCTTGTTTTTCTTAAAAGATGTAAAAAATTATATTTAAAACAAAATTCCTGTCACTGTACAATAGTAATAATTCCTGCCTCGGAACACAAAACAAAAACTGAACAGGGCGATTTGCACTGATAATAATAGTAGTATTAACAGTGGTAGTGTTGTAGTGTGGTGAAAAGGGAAGGAGAGGAGGTTGGGATAACATGGTGAAGGAGAACAAAGGGAGGGAGGGAGGAAGAAGAGAGGAGGGTCAGTGGGGAGATTCTCAGTAGTTTGGGCTAAAAAGGTGAGGTAGGCATCGTCACAACTTGGCGTGTGGCTTTTAAACTGGCAGGATTTGGTCTCAGTCCTTTCCCTGTGTAGTGTTAGTCCTCTGTAGCCTGGTCCCGAATGGCACTCTAGTGCATATATAGTGCACTACTTTTAACCAGAGCTCTATAGGCCCTTGTCAAAAGTAGTGCACTACACTGGGAATAGGGTGCCTTTTGGGACACACCTCATGTCTTCTGTAGTTGTGCGTCTCCAGGGAGCTACATGGCTCTGCTGTCCGTCCCACACTGATCTTACATCTTGATGTCCTCTTCGACACTGAGCTGAGACAGGGTCTTCTTGATGCGTAGAGCTGTGAGGCGGGCCGCTCCGTTAGAGTACCAGCACTCTCTCATGATCTTACCCATCACACGAAGAGACTGGAGGAGAAGCCAGAGAGGGTTCGATCAACACGCAATCAACCAACTATATACACAAAGGAAATATCAAATGATTTGCTAGTGTGAATGAATAAAGTACAATAAAAAAAAAAGATGTTTTGTTTCCACCATATCTACATTTAAATGCACAGTCAAAGCCAATAACTTATGACAAGTCAACAAACACAATGTTTCTGTCCAAAAGGTCAACAAATGCAATGTTTCTGTCCAGAGGTGTTTTGTATTTGTTCTTTCTCATTACCTCGTAGCTCTGCCACCAGTTGGGCACATTAGGCCTCAGCCTCTGGTCACACACCACCTTCCTCATCTCATCTATGGAAGGGTCAGAGGGCACCAGGTCAAAGTAGGGTAGCTGGTACTCTTCATGGATACCTATAGGGGGCAGAGGAGCAGCCAGGTCACTCACATGTACACATATCAGAAGATTTGTTCATATTAATGTGGTTCCTGAGAAGTTACAGCGTGTTTGAAGGGATCGGTTTGAGCAAGGCATGGCGCAGAATCCCTAATGTTGAACACATAACGAGTAGTTATTTGGCACGCAAGGTGATTTGTAGATCAGTGATTTTATGCAGTCTTACTGTAATTTAATCAATCTCAAGCGCATACAAACCTTCACCAGGCGTTGTGAGATTTGATCATCTGTGTAGCATGACTCCAATAAAGAGGACTTGAAACCCAGTCAGTGTCTTACCTCCAGTGTTGCAGCGGCGTGCTATCTCCCAGTACACCAGCCCCAGAGCGTAGATGTCAGCACACTTAAACGAGTCAAAGTGTTTCATGTTGATGGTCTCTTCCAGGACCTCTGGAGCCATATACCTGGAACAGACAAGAAAAGGGGATGTTTTGTACAGCATCAAATAACTTTAAAAACCAATTCAGAGATTGAAAAGAAGCGTGTGTGTGATATGTGATGGGGCAACCAGTGGTCTCAGTACCTCTTGGTGCCAACGCGCTGGTTAGGGGCGATGTCTATAGTATCAGAGATTGACTCGTGGCGTACTGCCAGCCCAAGGTCAGCGATGGCACACATGCCATTCTTCTTCACCAGAATATTCTTAGACTTCAGATCACGGTGGGCGATGCCAGGTTTGCCTAGAGAGGAACACACACTGAGTTGGAAGACTGGAATGGAGGGGGCACACAATATTTTTACCAGGTTAATATTATAACCAGGTCAATTAGTCTGTACTGTCTATTTGTTAAAAGGTTTGTAATGTCTACTACTATCGACTTTCAATGTAAACAGTCAAGTATTTTGTCTAATGTATTTTTAGTTGTGTGTTGGACGCCAGGAAGATTAGCTGTCGTCGAGGCGTCAGCTAATGAGGATCCTTATAAAATGCTAATCTATAGGCAGGGCAATCAGTGCAAACTATGGCCATAGTGAGGGGTGTAACATGTAGAGAGATGGAAAAACAGCATTCAAATCAGTAAACAATATCTGGAATATTTTAACACAACAGAGGAGCTGGCTAAACCACCAACAGATCTGGCTACCTGGGCCATGTTCAGTTGCCAAACATTGCAGATAGAAATGCCATGAATAGAGCCGACATGATTCCTTGTTCTACATGTCGGAGAGGAATGTTTGTTGTACATATTTCTATCTGAACGTTCCAAAACTGCTGAACGCGCCCCAGGCTAATTATGAATGTAAACACGTATGGTCTGAGTGGACGTGTATGGTCCATATAATTCATCTCCCCGCTGTGCTTACCCTGCGTTCCCAGTATCTCCATGTGCAGGTGAGCCAGGCCGCTGGCAGCAGACAGGGACAGTTTGATCATACCCTCGATTGTCACGGAGTAGTGGTTCAGGTAGTCAAACAGAGAGCCGTGCTCATGGTAGTCTGACACCAGCCATAGCTGGGTCCATGTGCCGTTATCTGGAGAGGGAGAGAGAGGATCATTCTGTCAATAAAACTACAGCCAGTAGGAGCCCTAGAATGACATTCACCTACATAACACCGGAGATACAGTGCCTTCAGAAAGTATTCACACCCCTTGATGTTTTACACAACACAAAATAAATAAAAATATACATATACACACACACACACACACACACACACACACACACACACACACACATATATATATATATATATATACATACAGTGGGGGAAAAAAGTATTTAGTCAGCCACCAATTGTGCAAGTTCTCCCACTTAAAATGATGAGAGAGGCCTGTAATTTTCATCATAGGTACACGTCAACTATGACAGACAAAATGAGAATTTCTTTTCCAGAAAATCACATTGTAGGATTTTTAATGAATTTTTTTGCAAATTATGGTGGAAAATAAGTATTTGGTCAATAACAAAAGTTTCTCAATACTTTGTTATATACCCTTTGTTGGCAATGACACAGGTCAAACGTTTTCTGTAAGTCTTCACAAGGTTTTCACACACCGTTGCTGGTATTTTGGCCCATTCCTCCATGCAGATCTCCTCTAGAGCAGTGATGTTTTGGGGCTGTCGCTGGGCAACACAGACTTTCAACTCCCTCCAAAGATTTTCTATGGGGTTGAGATCAGGAGACTGGCTAGGCCACTCCAGGACCTTGAAATGCTTCTTACGAAGCCACTCCTTCATTGCCCGGGCGGTGTGTTTGGGATCATTGTCATGCTGAAAGACCCAGCCACGTTTCATCTTCAATGCCCTTGCTGATGGAAGGAGGTTTTCACTCAAAATCTCACGATACATGGCCCCATTCATTCGTTCCTTTACACGGATCAGTCGTCCTGGTCCCTTTGCAGAAAAACAGCCCCAAAGCATGATGTTTCCACCCCCATACTTCACAGTAGGTATGGTGTTCTTTGGATGCAACTCAGCATTCTTTGTCCTCCTTGAGTTTTTACCAAAAAGTTCTATTTTGGTTTCATCTGACCATATGACATTCTCCCAATCCTCTTCTGGATCATCCAAATGCACTCTAGCAAACTTCAGACAGGCCTGGACATTTACTGGCTTAAGCAGGCGGACACGTCTTGCACTGCAGGATTTGAGTCCCTGGCGGCGTAGTGTGTTACTGATGGTAGGCTTTGTTACTTTGGTCCCAGCTCTCTGCAGGTCATTCACTAGGTCCCCCCGTGTGGTTCTGGGATTTTTGCTCACCGTTCTTGTGATCATTTTGACCCTACGGGGTGAGATCTTGCGTGGAGCCCCAGATCGAGGGAGATTATCAGTGGTCTTGTATGTCTTCCATTTCCTAATAATTGCTCCCACAGTTGATTTCTTCATACCAAGCTGCTTACCTTTTGCTGATTCAGTCTTTCCAGCCTGGTGCAGGTCTACAATTTTGTTTCTGGTGTCCTTTGTCAGCTCTTTGGTCTTGGCCATAGTGGAGTTTGGAGTGTGACTGTTTGAGGTTGTGGACAGGTGTCTTTTATACTGATAACAAGTTCAAACAGATGCCATTAATACAGGTAACGAGTGGAGGACAGAGGAGCCTCTTAAAGAAGAAGTTACAGGTCTGTGAGAGCCAGAAATCTTGCTTGTTTGTAGGTGACCAAATACTTATTTTCCACCATAATTTGCAAATAAATTCATAAAAAATCCTACAATGTGATTTTCTGGATTTTTTTTTCTCAATTTGTCTTTCATAGTTGACGTGTACCTATGATGAAAATTACAGGCCTCTCTCATCTTTTTAAGTGGGAAAACTTGCACAAATACTGGCTGACTAAATACTTTTTTGCCCCACTGTATGTGTGTGTGTATATATATATATATATATATATATATATATATATATATATATATATATATATATATATATATATATATATATATATATATATATATACATACACACTGTATTTTTTGTATTGTTTTAAGATGAACATTTTCTCCTCTCCTGACTGCATGTGCTGCCATATAAATGGAATGAATAGATCGGCTTCCTCATTTAAGTCAAAGATTTGTCCTTCTGGAAGGTTCTCCCAACTCCACAGAGGAACTCTGGAGCTCTGTCAGAGTGACCATTGGGTTCTTGGTCTCCCTGACCAAGGCCCTTCTCCCCCGATTGCTCAGTTTGGCCTTGCGGCCAGCTCTAGGAAGAGTCTTTGTGGTTCCAAACTTCTTCCATTTAAGAATGATGGACGCCACTGTGTTCTTGGGGACCTTCAATGCTGCAGAACTGTTTTGATTCCCTTCCCCAGATCTGTGCCTCGACACAATCCTGTCTTGGTGCTCTACGGACAATTCCTTGGTTTTTGCTCTGACATGCACTGTCAACTGTGGGACCTTACATAGACAGGCGTGTGCCTTTCCAAATAATGTCCAATCAATTGAATTTACCACAGGTGGAGTCAAATCAAGTTGTAGAAACATCAAGGATGATCAATGGACACAGGATGCACCTGAGCTCAATTTCGAATCTCATAGCAATCTCACAGCCTCCTGAGTGGCGCAGCGGTCTAAGGCACTGCATCGCAGTGCTAGCTGTGCCACTAGAGATCCTGGTTCGAATCCAGGCTCCGTCATAGCCGGCCGCGACCGGGAGACCCATGAGGCGGCGCACAATTGGCCCAGCGTCGTCCAGGGTAGGGGAGGGAATGGCCGGCAGGGATGTAGCTCAGTTGGTAGAGCATGGCGCTTGCAACGCCAGGGTTGTGGGTTTGATTCCAGTAATAAAATAATGTATGCAATCACTAACTGTAAGTCGCTCTGGATAAGAGCATCTGCTAAATTACTAAAATGTAAATGTAAAATAGCAAAGGGTCTGAGACAGGGGCGGCCTGTTCAATAGGGCGATATGGGCGACGCACTGCCAAACGGGAAAAGGAAGGGATTTTTTTTCTAATCAATTATATCACGGCAACAGTAGTTATCAGTGTTGTAATCTAGACGTCTGATCTGCCACAGTGCCACACTGCCACTAAATGTCGAATCAGGCTAAAGTCGTGCTTCAAATGGCCACCCCCCCTTTTGGGGCGATTTCAGTCAGGTTGAAAATCGCCCAGAAGTCTGTCATAGACTCCCATGTAAAATCTATTTTTTTCAAATTTCAGAGCTTTCAATACAATCTCTATGGGTGTCTGAGGGCTTGCACTTACGCGCTTTCGTCATACGTAACGTAACCATGAACGTAACTAAGAAAATAGCGGGTAGCAGCGTCTCTGTTGCGACCTGCAGTGTGTGTGACGTTATCTTATGTTTTTAATCTTATGTTTTTAATTTGTACACTTAGTTTACAAACATTCTGCCAACCATGGATTTCCAGTGGTGGGGTCACGGTGTTGGACTGATCTTGTTGATCGTGTACATACCCGCTACGAACTGACTAAATAATGAAAACGCTGCTGGCAGCGGAATCCAATACAGCAGGGAGTTTACTACAATGCAACTCAAATACGAACGCGATGGATATCCCAATGGCCCATCTAATACCTGATTGTCTGCGAGTGGATTACAAACCCAAATGCAAACGTGGAAAACGCGGGGGAATCAGACAACGACTTAAAAAAAATTAAGAACAAACTTCCCTTACCCACCACCTTGCTGATTAATGCCCAGTCACTGAGGGGGAAAGCGGATGAGTTGTCAGCGAATCTGCGCTTCCAACACGAATATCGGGAGGCCTGTTTGCTGGCATTTACTGAGACTTGGCTGGATGACAGAGTCCCGGACAGAGAAGTGGAGCCGGCCGGCTTCACCCTGGTCAGAGCGGACCGCGATCTGACAGTCACAGGGAAACTTCACGGCGGGGGCGTCTGTCAGGGACCAGTGGTGTAAATCGATCCTGGTAAGAGAGCGACTCTGTACCCCCGACATTGAACTGCTTTCTGTGTCACTGCGACCTTACTATCTGCCCCGTGAGTTCCCCCAATTGTTTGTTACCGTTGTGTACTTTCAACCAAAAGCTAATATAACAAAGGCATCAGAGATTATTTATAATCTGTCACAGAAACTGGAATCCATCTCCCCCGACGCACCCACATTTATTTTAGGGGATTTTAACAACTGTACCTTGCACAAAGTCTTGCGCACATACCATCAGTATGTGAAATGTCACACTAGGAAAAATAGGACTCTTGATTTGTGCTATGGGACAATACCAAAGGCGTTCTCTGCCACCACCAGACCTCCTCTGGGGACATCAGACCACAATGTGGTCTACCTCAGGCCAATTTACTGTCGCCTCCTGGAGAGGGAGAAACCCACAGTTAAAACTGTCCAGATCTGGAATGACAACAGTATCACTTGGGGTGTTTTGACTGTACAATGTGGGAGGTATTTGAGGACAGCAGCTCTGATCTGGATGAACTCACAGAGGTTATTTCAGACTATGTAAACTTCTGTGTTGAGTCAGTTGTGCCTACTAAGACCTGTAAAATCTTCCCTAACAACAAGCCTTGGGTATCAAAACATCTAAAATCACTACTTGATAGGAAGAAGGCAGTTTATGCTGGGGGTGATAGACAGGCTTTAAGAGATGTACAACGTGAGATAAAAAGACAGATACTGGTGGACAAGTTTTGCGGAGTGTTTGAGTTAGCTTTGCGAGGCAAAGATGAAACTGAGGGCTCCACCAACCCTGGTAAGCCAACACTTTTGAGATCAGTCAATAAATGCTTCTGGTATTGACTTATATGCTGCCCCTGTCTTCATGTTGTTGCTGGACATATCTTTTTTAAAATGTGTGTAGGTCACCTAAATCATCAGAAAAATTGTCCCCCCTGAGAATATTTTCAGGAGCCACCACTGGGTACACCTCAAATTGACTCAAATGATGTCAATTAGCCTATCATAATCTTCTAAAGCCATGACATCATTTTCTGGAATTTTCCAAGCTGTTTAAAGGCACAGTCAACTTAGTGTATGTAAACTTCTGACCCACTGGTATTGTGATACAATGAATTATAAGTAGGAATAATCTGTCTGTTAACAATTGTTGGAAAAATGACTTGTGCCATGCACAAAGTAGATGTCCTAACCGACTTGCCAAAACTATAGTTTGTTAACAAGAAATTTGTGGAGTGGTTGAAAAACAAGTTTTAATGACTCCAACCTAAGTGTATGTAAACCTACGACTTCAACTGTACATCAGCTGTCTCAATATGTCTCCCAATGTTGTTGATCTAGATAATAAACAACAGGGGACGTAAAATGGATTCTTGATGCAAACCTGAGTGCAGCTCTATGATGTCAGACTTTACACACTGGGTTCTATTTGACCTGTAGTTCACAAACCACTCCAGAGCATGACCAGTAATCCCAATACACTTCAGTGTCTGCACCATACCGTATGGTCCACAGTGTCAAACTCCTTTGACAAGTCTATGAACACAGATACACAATGCAACTAAAATCTTCCCTAACAACAAGCCTTGGGTATCAAAACATCTAAAATCACTACTTGATAGGAAGAAGGCAGTTTATGCTGGGGGTGATAGACAGGCTTTAAGAGATGTACAACGTGAGATAAAAAGACAGATACTGGTGGACAAGTTTTGCGGAGTGTTTGAGTTAGCTTTGCGAGGCAAAGATGAAACTGAGGGCTCCACCAACCCTGGTAAGCCAACACTTTTGAGATCAGTCAATAAATGCTTCTGGTATTGACTTATATGCTGCCCCTGTCTTCATGTTGTTGCTGGACATATCTTTTTTTAAATGTGTGTAGGTCACCTAAATCATCAGAAAAATTGCCCCCCCTGAGAATTTTTTCAGGAGCCGCCACTGGTCTGAGATTACTTATGTAAATAAGGTATGTTTTTTATTTTTTAATACATTTAGCAAAAATGTCCAAAAACCTGTTTTCGCTTTGTCATTATGGGGTATTGTGTGTAGATTGATGAGCGAAAAAAATAATGTAATCCATTTTAAAATAAAGCTGTAATGTAACAAAATGTGGAAAAAGTCAAGGGTTCTGAATACTTTCCGAATGCACTGTATATATTTATTTTTTTGGTTGTTGTTGGCTATTCGAATGGTTATTACGGTGACCGTGGTCATTTGCTGGCCAATAACCGTCAGTGCAGGGTTTCTGTTAGCCGGTAATAGTTTGCTTTTGACCAATAAAAAAATTTAAACCAGATAAAACTGTCTCCGGCCAATTGTCCAGGAGAATAAAAAAATCCTTGTCGATGTAAATAAATGTGACCGGTCATGCTTATTGGTCTATAGGGTCATTTGCATAATTTAATGGAATTAAATTGGCGTGTGATACAGAAACTATGAGCGGAAATCAGGCAGCGTGAGAGATGCTGCTACAGCTTCTCAAACAGCTCATTCGTTGCTGCTGTAATCAAATGTGCTTTTATAAGCCCAATCATTGTGTAACAATTCTAAATGTAATTGCGTGTAAAAACAGTTTTGATGGCCACGATTAAAAATATCGACACTTTTTATTTCGCAACTGGTAATTGAAGCACTCTTCCCATTCAAGTGCATATAGGAAACGGTAGGCAGGATTCAGCGTGTCACACACCACGTTGCAATGAGCTGGAGGCCGTATGCATTTTGAAAACATATACTTAAATTGTTTGAAACCTGAACGTCTTACTTCATATTATGAGAAAAGTCTTCCCTTGCTTCAAATTAAAATCCAACCATAGAAACGTAGAGGCAATTATTTTATAATGATTTCCATATACCGTCGAAACCAGTAGCCTATTTCTCTCATGTTCTCTTGGTTTTCAAATCAACTTTCTTTCATTGTCCATTCGCCAAAGGCACAATCCTAGTCATATTAGCAACCCATTCGTGGTCCTCTGTAGCTCAATTGGTAGAGCATGGCGCTTGTAACGCCAGGGTAGTGGGTTCGATCCCCGGGACCACCCATACGTAAAAATTTATGCACACATGACTAAGTCGCTTTGGATAAATGGAATATTATTCTAGTTGTTGCATCTTTAGATCTCCCATCTTTCTAAATTGCTAACAGTGTTTTCCCACTAATTGCATTATGGAACAAACATTTGCGCGTAGCCTACTGCCTTGTGCACATTGCTGTGCTTATAATGTGAAGAAATAATAGTTGATCAACATTTTAAGTTAAACATTCTGATCTGTTGCATCACTCATTGCTTCTTATGTAGCCTAGGCCTACTGGTTGTATGAATTTGGGATCTATCGTCCCACAACTGTCCCAGAGTCTATTTCGAATAGGCCATTTCTTTCATGCACAGAACAACAAGCTGACCAATAGAATAGGTTAACTTTTCTACTATGGGGATATTAGATTGACATAGGCTAGTGATTTTGCTGTTCATTACTTGTCTTGTTGGCTGAGGAAAAGTAAATGTAGACAGTTATTCTAACATCTTCAAAGAGAACATCGGAATTTGGTAAGAAGGATGCACACCGTTGCATCCTCAAGTTGCATGTTCTGTTAAGATTAATTACCATAATCTAAATGTGATTTCTGTCATTCTGAGAACAGTGGGTGGATGCACTAATCAGGTTAAGCACCCAATGCATATAGGTCCAGTACATTTATCCAATGTCCGTTAATTAAAAAATGCTGCCGGTCAAATGTCCGGCACTACATTTTCCTAACGGAAATCCTGCCCTAGTGTGTGGTGAGAGAATGCTCACCTTTATTGTCGGCGGCGATGAATCCCAGGATGTTCTCGTGTCGCAGCATGACGGTCTGGTAGATCTCAGCCTCTCTGAACCACGACCGCTCCTCCCGGGAAGAGAAGATCTTCACCGCCACGTCTCCTCCACGCCACTTCCCCCGCCACACCTCCCCAAAGCGGCCTTTCCCGATGATCTCCTGCAGAACAATGGTCCTGGCCACGGTACGCTGCACAAACAGGGGCAGACCTGCAGGGGGAAGCAGAGAGAAGAGCAGATAGCCAGGAGTACCACTGATGCCATTTGGCTTTTACCTAAATACAAACTTGTATGCATCTACTCTATTACTTACAGAGATGTCTAAAGGATATTCTTAACATTGAACAGCAATATCTAGTGTAATATACCCTCTGTTTGCAGGAGAGGGTAGAGTATACTGCTAAAAAATAAGCATGCTTTGCGGTTCCATATCTATAACCTTTTCTTCAAGCAGTGTAGGCTCAGTCTACTCACCAGAACCAGACCCGGAGGTGGACATGTCGTAGATGAGGTCCTGCAGGGTCTTGTCCTTGGCCAGGTAGAGGTGTTCACAGGAGGGGTCCTCCACCTCCAGCCTCTGCCTGCGGCAGCACCAGAAGAGAGGAGAGATTTAGTCTATTTGGTGAGAAACTGAAAATGTACCTTCTGTCCATCTCAACCCACCCAAATCCGATACCAGCAGCCCTCCAGTTGCCAGGTCAGTTCCCACTCAGGGCTTGAACTAGCAACCTTCCGCCTACTGGCCCACCTCTCTAACCTCTAGGCTACCTAATGGCCAACCTGATGGCCCACCTGTAGGGCCCTCCCATCATGTAGTGCCAACCCACCTGTAGGTCCTCTGGTGGTGTTGGAACAGGAACACTCCCAGCAGCAGCAGCATGCACAGCAGGAAGACTGGCCCTGCGATCACAGCCACAAGCTCCACCGGCCCCCAGGGGCCACCAGAGCTCACTGGGACTGGAGAGAGGGAGAAATTGAGAACAGGGTCGTGGTATTAGTATCTTTCCAGTTTAACCTAAACACAAAGGGTGCATCTCAATAGCCCAAAGTGGCTTCCTCCATCTCCTCTCCCTTATCAGCACTGATATGAAAGCAACATGGTGAATGTCTACAAGGGGGTTGCCTTCACCAGTCCTGTTCTTTCAAATGACTGCAGATAAAGAGACTATGACCGGAAGCTATTCTGGTGGAATGCACATTCAATGCGCGGCTGGTGTGACTTCGGCTTTACTCACGCGAGGGGACCTTGAGGTCGACGCGGTTGCAGTAGTCAGTGTAGCAGCAGTGTGTGTTGAGCAGTCCCTCAGCACTCAGACAGTAGAAAGGTTGGCCAGGGGGCACAAGGCTGTCTCTGGTAATACAGATCCTTACATGCTGCTCTCGCCCCTGGATGAAGGAGGTGGAGGCCATGCACGCCCCGTCAGTCTCACATTCATAACCAGACTTCACACAGTTGGTGCAGTTACACCGCAGGGCTGGGGGGAAAGAGGGAGGAAGGAGGTTAGAAATACTGCCAATTGATGGAGATTTTTATTTGGTCAGCAATTTATTTATTTATACATATACACACAGTACATTTTGTTTTTACGTGACCGGGAGTGCAAAGTCAGACTTATTTCCGTTGTGGTCTGAGGAGCATCATGGGAGCTTGAACAGAGACCAAGATAACAGGCATGGGCATGGAATTTCCAGAACAGAATGAGATTAACTGTCATTGATGGCCTTAAACTATAAGCCTATAGTCCAGTCCTTAAGAGGAAAACGATTGAATCACTGCATTGACCACATTTTTTTCCAGCAGAGGGCAACCTAAACCAACAATTAAGAAAGACAACATACATTCCATCTACTGGACTATCCAGGATAGAGTCCCATTCAGAATAGACTCAACACAGCCAGTGGAGTACGGTTTGTGCAGACAGACAGCCCAGGCTGAAACCAGATCCACCACTGCAGATGAACACAAAACACACTGAGGAGAGAAAGGGAGAAGACTGTCCTGGGAGCTTACATTGTAGAATTTTAGCAACCAGGAAATGACAGAGCGATTTCTACATTGGCCGCTTGACCCGATTTCCACTAGATAACACAGCCAAAGTCAAAACAGCTTTCCCATTTTGACAACAGATGCCAGCCCGGCAGGAGAAATCATAGCCAATCACAACACTGTCGGGTTGGGATGGGCGATATGGCCGAAAAATCGACTTTTTCAAAGTTATGGGCTATTCACGAGATACACTGCATGACCAAAAGTGTGTGGACACCTGCTCGTCCAACATCTCATTCCAAAATCATGGGCATTAATATGGAGTTGGTCCCCCCTTTGCTGCTATAACAGCCTCCACTCTTCTGGGAAGGCTTTTCACTAGATGTTGGAACATTGTTGTGGGGACTTGCTTCCATTCAGCCACAAGAACATTAGTGAGGTCGTGCACTGATGTTGTGCGATTAGGCCTGGCTCGCAGTCGGCGTTCCAATTCATCCCAAAGGTGTTCGATGGGGTTGAGGTCAGGGCTCTGTGCAGGCCAGTCAAGTTCTTCCACACCGATCTCGACAAACCATTTCTGTATGGACCTCACTTTGTGCACGGGGGCATTGTCATGTTGAAACAGGAAAGGGCCTTCCTCAAACTGTTGCCACAAAGTTGGAAGCACAGAATCGTCTAGAATGTCATTGTATGCTATAGTGTTAAGATTTCCCTTCACTGGAACTAAGGGGCCACATACTTTGTGTGTGATATATATATATATATATATATATATATACACACACACACACACACATACATACATACATACATACATACATATACACACATACAGTGGGAAAAAAAAGTATTTAGTCAGCCACCAATTGTGCAAGTTCTCCCACTTAAAAAGATGAGAGAGGCCTGTAATTTTCATCATAGGTAGACGTCAACTATGACAGACAAATTGAGAAATTCTTTCTCCAGAAAATCACATTGTAGGATTTTTAATGAATTTATTTGCAAATTATGGTGGAAAATAAGTATTTGATCATCTACAAACAAGCAAGATTTATGGCTCTCACAGACCTGTAACTTATTCTTTAAGAGGCTCCTCTGTCCTCCACTCGTTACCTGTATTAATGGCACCTGTTTGAACTTGTTATCAGTATAAAAGACACCTGTCCACAACCTCAAACAGTCACACTCCAAACTCCACTATGGCCAAGACCAAAGAGCTGTCAAAGGACACCAGAAACAAAATTGTAGACCTGCACCAGGCTGGGAAGACTGAATCTGCAATAGGTAAGCAGTTTGGTTTGAAGAAATCAACTGTGGGAGCAATTATTAGGAAATGGAAGACATACAAGACCACTGATAATCTCCCTCGATCTGGGGCTCCACGCAAGTTCTCACCCCGTGGGGTCAAAATGATCACAAGAACGGTGAGCAAAAATCCCAGAACCACACGGGGGGACCTAGTGAATGACCTGCAGAGAGCTGGGACCAAAGTAACAAAGCCTACCATCAGTAACACACTACGCCGCCAGGGACTCAAATCCTGCAGTGCCAGACGTGTCCCCCTGCTTAAGCCAGTACATGTCCAGGCCTGTCTGAAGTTTGCTAGAGTGCATTTGGATGATCCAGAAGAGGATTGGGAGAATGTCATATGGTCAGATGAAACCAAAATATAACTTTTTGGTAAAAACTCAACTCGTCGTGTTTGGAGGACAAAGAATGCTGAGTTGCATCCAAAGAACACCATACCTACTGTATGGGGGTGGAAACATCATGCTATGGGGCTGTTTTTCTGCAAAGGGACGACTGATCCGTGTAAAGGAACGAATGAATGGGGCCATGTATCGTGAGATTTTGAGTGAAAACCTCCTTCCATCAGCAAGGGCATTGAAGATGAAACGTGGCTGGGTCTTTCAGCATGACAATGATCCCAAACACACCGCCCGGGCAACAAAAGGAGTGGCTTCGTCAGAAGCATTTCAAGGTCCTGGAGTGGCCTAGCCAGTCTCCAGATCTCAACCCCATAGAAAATCTTTGGAGGGAGTTGAAAGTCAGTGTTGCCCAGCGACAGCCCCAAAACATCACTGCTCTAGAGGAGATCTGCATGGAGGAATGGGCCAAAATACCAGCAACAGTGTGTGAAAACCTTGTGAAGACTTACAGAAAACGTTTGACCTGTGTCATTGCCAACAAAGGGTATATAACAAAGTATTGAGACACTTTTGTTATTGACCAAATACTTATTTTCCACCATAATTTGCAAATAAATTCATAAAAAATCCTACAATGTGATTTTCTGGATTCTTTTTCCTCATTTTGTCTGTCATAGTTGAAGTGAACCTCTGATGAAAATTACAGGCCTCTCATCTTTTTAAGTGGGAGAACTTGCACAATTGGTGGCTGACTAAATACTTTTTCTCCCCCACTGTATATACATACACACACACAGCTGTGGAAAAAAATTAAAAAGACCACTGCAAATGTTTCTTAAATCAGCATCTCTACATTTATGACAGCCATTCCTTTCCAGTGTCTGTTGAATTCCAACACAGGCACACCTCATTCTACTGAATTAGGTACTGATTAGGTGATCACCTGAACCAAATCTTATTTAAAAACGAGGAAAAGTATAAAAACCACTGCTGTGGTCATCACTATCCTCTTGCAATAGGACTAGCTGGATGGCAAAAACAGTGCTAATAGTACCTCAAAAGTAATATTAAATTTAAAAAAATAACTATTGACCATGCCAAAAGAGTTGAAAAGGAAAGTTGAGAGTGATGAAAAAAGGGTTCAATTCTGGCTTTACTGGCAGAGGGTTACAGTGAGCGTCAGGTTGTTCCATTCTTAAAATTTAAAAGACGGCGGTTCATAAGAACAAGGTCAAGCAGCAGACATTGGGGACAACAAAACTACAGACCGGCAGAGGGCGAAAACGACTCTCTACTGACCGGGATGATCACCAACTCATTCGAATGTCACTCAACAACCGTAGGATGACATCAAGTGACCTACAAAAAGAATGGCAAACGGCAGCTGGGGTGAAGTGCATGGCGAGGACAGTTTGAAACAGGCTCCTAGGGGCAGGGCTGAAGTCGTGCAAAGCTAGAAAAAAGCCCTTCATCAATGAGAAGCAAAGAATAGGATTGGACCGTAGAGGACTGGAGTGAGGTCATCTTCTCTGATGAGTCCAATTTTCAGCTTTGCCCAACACCTGGTCATCTAATGGTTAGACGGAGACCTGGAGAGGCCTACAAGCCACAGTGTCTCGCACCCACTGTGATATTTGTGGAGGATCGGTGATGATCTGGGGGTGCTACAGCAAGACTGGAATCGGGCAGATTTGTCTTTGTGAAGGACGCATGAATCAAGCCATGTACAAGGTTGTCCTGGAAGAAAACTTGTTTCCTTTTGCTCTGACATTGTTCCCCAACTCTGAGGATTGGTTTTTCCAGCAGGACAATGCGCCATGCCACACAGCCAGGTCAATCAAGGTGTGGATGGAGGACCACCAGATCAAGACCCTGTCATGGCCAGCCCAATCTCCAGACCTGAACCCCATTGAAAACTTCTGGAATGTGACCAAGAGAAAGATGGATGGTCACAAGCCATCAAACAAAGCCAAGCTGCTTGAATTTCTGCATAAAGTCACCCAACATCAATGTGAAAGACTGGTGGAGAACATGCCAAGACGCATGAAAGCTGTGATAGAAAATCAGGGTTATTCCACCAAATATTGATTTCTGAACTCTTCCTAAGTTAAAACATTATCGTGTTGTTTAAAAATGAACATGGACTTATTTTCTTTGCATTAGTCGAGGTCTGACAACACTGCATCTTTTTTGTTATTTTGACCAGTTGTCATTTTCTGCAAAAAAATGCTCTAAATGACAATATTTTTATTTAGAATTTGGGAGAAATGTTGTCAGTAGTTTATAGAATAAAACACTAAATGTTATTTTTACCCAAACACATACCTATAAATAGTAAAACCAGAGAAACTGATAATTTTGTAGTAGTCTTTTAATTATTTCCAGAGCTGTATAAGAATTCCGGCTCTCACAGACAAAATGTATGCACGCATGACTGTAAGTCGCTTTGGATAAAAGCGTCTGCTAAATGGCATATTATTATTATATGTAGAAAATTTAAGAAGTTCAAGATGACGGTCAATCACCCTCGGTCTGGGGCTCCATGCAAGATCTCACCTCGTGGGGCATCAATGATCATGAGGAAGGTGAGGGATCAGCCCAGAACTACACGGCAGGACCTGGTCAATGACCTGAAGAGAGCTGGGACCACAGTCTCAAAGAAAACCATTAGTAACACACTACGCCGTCATGGATTAAAATCCTGCAGCGCACGCAAGGTCCCCCTGCTCAAGCCAGCGCATGTCCAGGCCCGTCTGAAGTTTGCCAATGACCATCTGGATGATCCAGAGGAGGAATGGGAGAAGGTAATGTGGTCTGATGAGACAAAAATAGAGCTTTT